AGGAGTGCTGGATAACCTGTGGAACTCCAGGTTGCACGTGCCCAGGTAGAAGATTTATGAACCTCCCATCCATGCTGGGGGGGCTCCCGCTGTGGCCAGAGGCCTAGACCGGGTCCCTTGGCACTTCCACGGTGTCCTATCCCACAGCTGCCAACTCTCCCCTCTCGAACCCTTGGAGGTGGGATTCTTCTTCCCTAGACTGGGCATGGGCTTCCCTTGAACTGTGTGGCTTGGGGTTTGGCACCTGACAACAAATAGTTGGTAGTGGAGATGGCTGCGGGGGCACTGGGTACTGAAAAAGGCTTTGCTTCCAGCACAAGGCTGCTCCTTACACTTGGGCAACGCCAACCTCCTCCCTGTAAAGACTAACATGGGGTGGCTGTCACTTTGTAATGTCCTCTTGGTGGTGGGTGCTGCTGAACAGTGCCCCTGGGGCAGGAAACTTCCTCGTCCTGCCCTGGAGCTGGCCTGAGAGGAGAGATGTGTTCCTCCGTAGGAGGGATGTTGGAGTTTTGTGCCTGGAGCTGGTCTAACCAGGCTGTGTTCCTCCAGGTGGAGGAGCTGAATAAAAAGCTGACTCAGCATGAGAAGGCCACCTTGATCCAGCAGCAGAGAGCTAAGGTAAAGAGGAATCAAGAACCTGGGGGCTGAGATCTTGGGCAGCCTTGGAGCTGTTGGTGCTGCCCAGGGAGCTCACTCAGGGTATGGGGTGCCTCTGAGCCAGTCTCTTCTCTGCCTGCAGGCACTGGAAGAGGAGCTGCAGGAGAAGGTGGCAGAGCTGCAAGGGCAGCTCGCCCAGAAGGAGCGGGCGGCTGAGCACTACAAAGGGCAGGTATGCCAGGGGCTGGCACAGCCTCACTATCCCTGGCACCACTAGGAAGCTTGACAGGATTCCTCTCATTGACATCCTAGATGGAGAAGGCAAAAATTCACTACGATGCCAAGAAGCAGCAGAATCAGGACCTGGCAGAGAAACTGAAGGCCATGGAGCAGCTGCAGAAGGAGAACACGGAGCTCCGGAGCAAGTCAGACAGGCTGGCCAAGGAGCTACAGCAGAGCATCCTGCAGGCCAAGGAGTCGGAGCTGAGCTGCAGGAACCTTACCAGCCAGGTCCGCAGCCTGGAGGCTCAGGTAGGCACAGCACAGTGGGGCTTCACCCTCCTTCCCCTCCGCCACCTTGCTTAGAGGGTCCATCCATCCCTCTCTGCTTCCCACCCAGGTGGAGTTTGCTGAACAGCAGCTACAGGAGCTCAGCAAGTTCCAGATGAAGACCACCTCGCTAAAGGGCCTGGAGACTTGCCACCAGAACTTGGCAGACCAGAGCACCGACAGCCTCGATGAGGCACAGCCACTCAACTCTACCAGGTACCAACCCATCTGGCTGCCAGCACCCTAAAAACCTGCTGTCCTCTTGCTTGCTGTTTGCTGGTGGTTGGGTAAGCCTGTTAGTGCTACCCTCATCCCTCGTCTCTGCAGGCAGGCCAGCAGCTCAGAAGCTTCAGCAGTGCCACTGGACAGGGAAGAGTTGCTGGTGTCGCAGCGGCTGCCCCAGGAGATGGAGTCGCTGGAGAGCCTCTACTTTACCCCCATTGCCAGTGAGACAAGGTCCCAGCTGGAGAGCAGCACCGACTCCTTGGGCAACGTCTCACTCGAATCTGGGTGCAAGACCCACTCAGCCCAGCTCCGCACCACGATCAACATCACCGTGACAAACGTGAGCAGGGGGGCCCGTACAGGCTGGGGAATGGAGGGGTGGGGAGCAGCACTGCAGGGGGACTTGGGGTGCTGGGAAGTGAATAGCTGGACATGGCCTGACAATGTGCACTGGCAGAATAAAATCCAACCTTGTTCTGGGCTGATTCCCAGCAGCATGAGCAGCAGCACAAGGTGGGAATTCTGCCCCCTCTGCTTGGCTCTGGTGAGACCCCCCTGTAGTGCTGCCTTCAGCTCTGGGGTCCCAACATCAGGAGGACATTGAGTTGCTGAAGTGAGTCCAGAGGAGGCCGTGAGATGCTCAGAGGGCTGAAACAGCTCTGCTATGGAGACAGGCTGAGAGAGCTGGGGGTGTTCAACCTGGAGAAGAGATGGCTCTGAGGAGAACTGAGAGTCCCTTCCAGTGCTTAAAGGAGCTCTAAAGAGCTAGAGAGGGACTTGGGACAAGGGCCTAGAATGACAGGAGAAGGGGGAACGGCTTCAAACTGACAGAGGACACTGCTAGATTGGATATTGGGAGGAAATTCTTTCCTGTGAGGGTGGGGAGGCCCTGCCACACGTTGCCAAGAGAAGCTGTGTCTGCCACAACCCTGGAAGTGTCCAAGGCCAGATTGGATGGGGCTTGGAGCAACATGTTCAGTGGAAGGTGTCCCTGCCCTTGGCAGGGGTTTGGAACCAGATGAGATTTAAGGTTCCTTCCAGCCTAAACCCATCTGTGATTGACTCCCTGATCTCTGGATTTTTCTCTCTCAGAAACAGGCCAAGTCCAAAGAACTGGACTGCGTCAACGTCTCCTTCTACAGCATCCCACCAGCTCAGTCCCCAAGTGCTTCCCCTGCCAAGAGACAGCTGCGCTCAACTGCTTCCACCTACTCCCTCACCAGCTTCCCCTCACAGGAAACTCTAGGCAAGCCGGAAACTTCCTGCCCGGAGACCTCTGGCAATTCAGTGCTGCTGGGCCTCCCCGGGTACCACCATGTCACTCGAAGATCCATGCGTTCGCAGGGGACCAAGAGCTCCAGCCTCGGTGTGTGTGGGCAGGGTGGGCACCTGGGCTGCTGGCTGTGGGGTTCTGCCTGGTTTGGGGAGTGGGGTCACTTCTTACCTGGGACCCCCCTTTCAGCCTTCCCTGTTTTGCATTTAGGTCAGAACACCTTCTACCTGGGCACGTGCCAGGAGGAGCCGGAGCAGCCTGGTGACTGGAACCGCGTTGCAGAGCTGCAGCGGCGGAACCAGGCCTGCCCCCCGCACCTAAAGACCTCCTACCCCCTGGAGAGCGGGGTACGGGGGGGGGAAAACGGAGGGTGGAAGGCCCCTTCCCCAGAAGTGGGGTTTGGGAGTGGGTCTGGGGATGGACAGTGCCCCTGGGCAACATCTCTATGCCCCCTCCCCAGCCCTCCACCTCCTCGGGAACCATCACGGAGGAGGAGATGAAGATGGGGGACCCTGAGGAGACCTTGCAACGTACCAGCATGCAGGCCTCAGAGATCATGCCCCCCAGCAGCGGAGAGGGCACCTCATGCAGCACCCTGGGCCAAGCCTCTGCTGGCATCACTACCCGGCAGCAGAGGAAGCGCCTCTATGATGAGACCCACCAGAGCCCGGACACCCCCCAGGTGAGCCCAGCCCAGCCCCCCAGTGCAGCATCCTGCTGGGGGCCAGGGGACACAGGCTTGGGGTCAGCTGCAGGTGTTCTCCAGGTTTTGAGGGGGTTGCTGCAGTTCTGTGGGTGGCATGCCAGTGCTCCTATGCTCTCAGTGCCCCCACTACTCCTGTTGCCCAGTGCTCCAAATGCTCTCAGTATTCCCAGATGCTCCCAGTGCTCCAAATGTTCCCAGTGATCCTGGCTTCCAGTGCCCTGTGTTCCCAGCATCCAGTGTTGTGTACAGTGTTCAGATGCTCCCAAGGCCGCTCTGTCCCCTCCCTGCAGCCCCTCAGTTCCTTCAGTGCTGCCAGCTCCCCAGCAGGGTGACCCCTGGATGATGGTCCCAGCTGGTCCCCTCTTTTCTAGTCCAAGAAGCGAACCACCTGCTTCCCACAGCCCCAGACCACCCAGGACAGCAGTGAGCAGCATAGCTCCCAAGTCGGTCAACAGAGAGAAGAGCCGGCCTCCACCAAGCGGGTGAGTGAGCTCCATAGGGAAAAGGAGGGGTTGGGACAGACCTCCCTGTCTTGTCCTGAGCTGAGCTGAGCTGATGGTCCTGCCCTCTCCCCTGCAGGGTAAGAGGCGCCAGTCGATGGCATTTGCCATCCTCAACACCCCCCGGACGCTGGGGAACCGCCTCCTGCGCCGGGTAGCTGCCCGGAAGAGCACTCCAAAGAACACCGCCAGTGGCAGCACCCGGCGCTCGTCCCGCATCGCCACTGCCAAGTCCTCCAAGGGCAAGGTAGGCACTGCCCATACCCCCAGGTGGCCTTCTGAGCACATGCTCTCCCCAGTGCCCCCAGCCCCTGCCCTGGGCTCATGCCATGGCAGCAACAGGTCCCAACATGGGCATGGCCACTGCCAGGGTCCTGGTGACACTCAGCAGTCACTAACGTCCCTTCTCTGTCTCTCCCTTTCAGGACAGTCGCCAATCGCTCGAGGATAAAAAATCCTGAGGTTTCCCCTTGTGTTACTGGCTCTGCCCTGGCCCCCTACCTGCACCCCCTCGCCTCTCCCTGTCCCCCCAATGCTGCAAGCACATCCCCAGGGCCCAGCAGCACTGAGGGAAGACAGATTGGGCCACCTGTGTGATGCTGCCCTGCACGTCCCACTGACAACCATGGGGCTGCCCTGAGCACGGCAGGGCGTCCATGCCCTTCCTGCACCCATTGTCACCCTTAACCCTCCTGGGACCCAAGGCAAGTGAGGACTGGAAACACCCATGGGTGCAGGGGCTGGTACCAGTCTGGGGCTGGAGGGTCTGAACCCTCCTCAGGGATATCCCGCAGCCCCAGTGACAGGGACAGAGGTAAAACATAGTGTCCCCTTAACCCTCCCCGACTCCCCCACCTGCCCCTGCCCTCCTGCAGCTCCCAGGGAATCCAAGGCAACAATTTAAATGTTTCTACTCGTAAATAAACTATTTTTCTTCTGCTTTAGGGGTCCTGGCTTCCTCCTCCCATGGGCCACAGTTCTGGATCTCCAAGTGAGGCTTGAGGGGAGGAAAACCATGACCTCCTCCTTGTCCCCTCACTGTCCCCACCAGCTGCACAGCATGCCCCAAGGCACAGTGCTCACCCACGGAACCTGCTGTGGCACTGGGCAGTCACAGGGCATTTCTCTCTCTCTTTCCTCTCTCTCCTTTAATTTATTCTTCTCCGGCAGCAACTCCTGCCATTACAGTGTTTCAGGCCCCTTAAACTCCCCCCAAACCCTGCCAAGGGGCTGGAAGCACCTTCTCCATCCATCCCACCAGCCTTGCCACAAACGTCCTGGGGCTGCTGTGTCTCTGCCCCTTGCTCCTTGCACCACAGCTGGGTCCAGCATTGTGGGTTCAGCCCCTGGGGGGTGGTGACACAGGGTTTGTCCCCAGCTTTACTGTCTTACTGCAGGCGGTGGGATGAGGACAGTGTCTCACCACAGGTGCTGGCATGCTGCTCCACCTCTGCCATGCTGAAAGGCAGCTCGCAAATGGGGCAGGACACCCAGGTGTCAGGGGACAAGGAGGGCCAGGCTGCAGTGTGGTCTTCTTCCCCGCAGTGGGAGGCATGTGTGGGGAGCACATCCAGGAGGAAGCACCCTGTGGAAAAGAGAGGTGATGTGGTTGTCAGAGGCTCACTAGTGTTGGGATGACCCGGGGTTTGGGCTGACACCCTCCCTGAGGCTTCTTATGGCAGAGATACACGGGGTTGCACTGTGATGTCCCTCCGCTGCCTGTCACCAAGCTGGTGCCAGGGCACCAGCAGGAGGGAGGTGTCCCAGCTATGGAACCGCCATTGCTATCCCCATTTGTTGCTTGGTGTCCCCTCGCCACCAGAGGACACCCCTCCCATGCACCTACCTGAGCAGATGGGACAGACACCCATCTCCCTGTCACTGCTGGTCTGTCCCGTGTCACTCCTCCTGGCCTGTCTCTCTTGGGAGCCATGGGTTTGGGCTCTTCTTCTGACCATTTGTGGCCTTGAGGCAGTAGCTGGAGCCCTGCAGAGGGGTCACGTGCTGAAGGCACGCCGTGCCACATTCTTGTCAACCCAAAGGAGTGAAGGGCTGGACCCAGAACTCTCTGGGATTGGGAGTGGTAAGCCACCAGAGAGGGCAAGGGCAGGAGGAAAACGGTGACCTGAGGGATTACCTGCCAGCAAGGCTGGGAGCATGTTGCTTGTCTGGCTGCTTGCAGGTGCTTGGGGGGGCTGTGGGTATGTTCAGTGCAGAGCCTGGGAAACAGCAAGTGGGCAGGAACCATGGAGACACAGGATGGTTTGGGTTGGAAGAGACCTTAAAGCTCACGTTGTACCAACTCCCTGCCACGGGCAGGGACACCTTCCACTAGAACAGGTTGCTCCAAGACCCATCTAACCTGGCCTTAAATATTTCCAGGGATTAGGCAGCCATAGCTTCTCTGGGCAACCTATGCCAGGGCCTCCCCACTCTCACAGGGAAGAATTTCTTCTCAATATCCCATTTAACCCTGCCCTCTGTCAGTGTGAAGGCATTCCCCCTTCTAGGCCCTTGTCCAAAGTCCAGCTCTTTAGAGCCCCTTTAAGCACTGGAAGGGGCTCTCAGTTCTCCTCAGAGCCATCCCTTCTCCAGGTTGAACACCCCCAGCTCTTTCAGACTGTCTCTGTAACAGAGGTGCTCCAGACCTTGGAACACCTCTGTGGCCCCCTCTGGACTCATTCCAGCAACTCCATGTCCTTCTGATGTTGGGGGCCCCAGAGCTGGAGGCTGCCTTGAAGAGGCAGAGCAGAGCAGAGGGGCAGAACACCCACCTTGCACCCAGTTGCCCACAGTGGTGGGGATGCAGCCCAGGACACAGTTGTACAGGCTCACCTACTGGCGCCATGGGACCGCCCAGGTCCTTGGCTGGCAGCTCTGGGTCACCCCCTGGCCTCAGTGCCCGACTCCGCACTGCTGACAGCACCATCCGGGCCGAGCGGCTGAGGTAGGCTGGGCTCCCAGCACCCCCTTCCAGCTGCCACAGGCGGCTCCTCAGCTGCTCCTCTGCACTGGACCTCCTGGGGACAGGGAGAATCAGCCCTGCAGGAGGGGTCAGCCAGGGCTCTGGGCTCTGAGGCAGAACCTCAAGGGGCTCCAGGCCCTGCTGCACAGGGAGAGGATGGGATGGGTCAGGCCAGGCTACTTACAAGTGTGGTTTGGGAAAAAACATCTGGTGGAAGTCAGGGTTGGAGCACCAGGGGCTGTCTGAGGGCTCAGCATCCTCCTGTGGGACAAGGGGATGCCCCAGGCAATCAAGCAGGAACCTTCTGCCCACCATCTTCGCACAGCCCCCGGTTCAGCCCAGCGAGCATCTTCCTGTGCTCTGTCTGGGGCACACGTGGCACCCATGGAGGAGCTGCTCCATCCCCACAGCCTTCCCATGGAGAGCAGTACACAGAGCTGTGAGAGGCACCTACCAGGCCCAGGGGTGGCTGGGGGGGCCCAGGCTCATGCTCTTGTGGTGTGCGCAGGCGGATGAAGGAGAGCCCGAAGTGGCTGCACGGACTGAAGGGCTGGCTGCAGGTGAGCCGCAGGCGGTCCCAGTGCTGCCCCACCGCCGGCACCGGGAAGTCTGCTGTGGGGGAGAGCAGCCGGGGTGGAGGGGACGCAGCAGGGACCACTGTCCTGGCACTGCTCCCATCTCTGCTTGTCACCCTGTGACCATGACACCCAGGAAACAGCAACAACTGGGAGATTACGGGCACAAGAAAGGCTGGGGTAGGGGAGCAGAGCTGGTACGACTTTCCCAAGGACAACCGTGACCCCTGGTCTACCTGTCCCCTTCTGCCCCCCCCCCACCAGCCGTATCCTAGCACCAGCCCCCCATCCTGCCCTTTTGCCAACCCCTAGCCAAGCCCCATCCCTTTGCCAGCCCCCCATCCTCCTCCCCAACCAGTTCCCCATCCCCTTGCCAGCACGCCCAGCCAGCCCACCACCAGGGCCACAGCTCTTCCCTGTGTCTTTCTCCTTCGGATCGATCTTTACCTTCCTTAAACATCCGAACCCCGCAGCGATTCCGGCCCAGCTTCGAGTCATCTGGTGTCATCAGCGTGACAGTGGGCACCAAGGTGACATAGGGCTGGTCACGCGGCCATGAGGAACGTCCCACCTCGATCTGCAGGAAGGCGCAGCCACAGTTCCCTGGGGAACAGTGGGAAGCACAGGGGGTTCAGAGCTGCTGAGCCCATTGGGGGCACAGCCCTGCCTCCTGCACAGGGACGGGGACATACCGATGTCCACATAGCCAATGGGACTGGCTCTTTCCAGCTGCAGCTCCACACTCAGCCACCTGCTGCGGTCCTGGGGGCAGCCCAGCCAGGGCCGGACACTGCCCTCACTCAGCAGGTTCTCCGCCGGGTACTTGGGGTCCTGCATGCACAGCAGGGACATGGCATGGCACATGGCTCCCTCCCTGAATGCCTTCCCCTCCGGCTCCAGCTCACTCTGGACACAGGGGAGAAACAGGGAATCCCCTGGTAACCCAAGGAACAACATCCCGCTTTGAGAATTGCCTGGAATTCCTGCCCTGCAGCCCTATTTAGTGCCCTTCAGCCTAACAAGGAAAGCTGCTGCTGCACCCTGTCACACTCCCACCTGCCTCTTTAGAGAACCCAACAGCTCAGGGAGAAACAGCCCCCCTGGAGGAAATCCCCGGGTACCTGGGAGGAGAATGACACCACGTAGCTGATTTTAACTGGAGCCATTCAGGATCCTCTAGAGTGGATGTCCTGCTAGGACACAGATTCTCCTCAGATCCCTCCAGTGCCTAGTGGGGAAAAAGGACAGGTCTGTGATGGGCTCGGGTGTCTCCCACCTCTGGCACTATTCAGCAGCTCCCAGCCTCAGCCCACAAGCCCTCAGCAGTTCCAGTGCACTCCAGTCCCATCTCACTGCCTCAGTGCCCCCCAGACCTGCCCCACCACCCCTTAGCCTTCTTTGCCACAGCAGTAACCCCTACATCTGACTCACAACCCCCCATCCCCGTTCAGCCACTTCTGTGCTCGCTGCTCACCCATCACAACCCCCCCCCAGCCCCGGATGCCACCCACATCTAGCCCACAAGCCCCAGCCCCGTTCTGTCACTCCAGTACCCCTCAATCCTTCCCCACAGCTCCCTTCAGCCCCTCCAGTTCCACCCTCCGTGTTCTCAGACCCACAAACAACGCCCCCAGAGCAATTAATCGCAGTGCCACCCCCACCCCTCCCACTCCTCCACCACGACCCCTCTCACAGCCCCATCAAACCTCGGCTGTGCCTCGCAGCCCCCCCCGCCATCCCCCCGCGGCAGTGCCCCCGCAGCCCAACGTCCCCGGGCACCTCAATGCACCGACCCCAAAGCCACCGCCCGAATCTCCCGCCCGAACCGCACGGCCCCGACTCCGCCTCCTCGCCGTCCCCTGCCTGGCCCGGCCGCGGGGCCTGACGGGGCTCGTAGTGTGCGGGCGGCGCAGGGCCCCGAGCGGGCAGCGTTACGGGGCGGCCCGGAGCAGTGAGGCGGCGGAGCGGCCCGGGGACACCGAGCCCGGGGGCCTATGAAGGGCAGGCAGGCCCCGGCAGGCACGGCTTCCCCGCGCCCGGCACGAGTCCCGCCCCTCCCCGCTCCCGATTGGCCGCCGGGGCAGCGCCGCGCGCAGCGATTGGCCCAAGCGCGGCGGCTTGCCCGGTGATTGGCGGTCGGCGGCGGAAGGAGCTGGCCGCTGAGGGGGCGGGGCAAGATGGCGGCGGTGCTGGAGGTGGAGGTTGGCGGCCCAGTCGAACGCGATGTGGAGGAGGTGCGGGGGTTGTGCCGGGCCGGGCCGGGGCAGCCGCGGAGGGGAGGGGGAGGCGGCTGCAGGGCCGGCAGCTCCAGCGCGGGGGAGGCTGGAAGGGAGCCGCAGCGGGCGCGGGCCTGGGGGGCGAGGGGCAGCGGAGTACGAGTGTACGCTGAAGGGTTCTGAGGGTCCTTGGAGTGGGAGAGAGGCGGTCTGGGGCACTCTGAGCTTGTAGGGCTTTGCGGCGGGTGGGTGTGGGGAGTGTTAGTGTTGGGGGGGGACACTGGGGATCCCTGGCATAGGGGAACACCGGGGGCAGGGGGGCACTGGGGGCTTCGGGACGCCCGTGGGGCAGCGGAGCAGTGGAGGTCCCGGGGCCGCGAGGGCGGGGATGGAGGCTCGGCTGTTGTTCCCGTGCTGGCTTTCAAGTGTTCCTGGGGATGAAAAATGACAAAGCTGGAAACAAGAAATCTATTTGGAAAGCTGGAATTGGGAGCAAGGTGGTGTATGTGCCACGGGCATTGGCACTGTTGCCCCGGGCTTTGCAGTGGCTCTTTGCCATCCCCTGTTCTTTACGCTCAGGAGTTTTCTTTCCACTTGCAGAGAACGAGAAAAAGAGAGTATGGCTCTGTTCTGTGTGGAGAATGTGGTTCCATCCTGCCTGTACTGTGGGTTACTGTGGGTGACTGACTGCTGGTGCAGTCAGGTACTTTTTGGTGCTTTTCCTCAAGAATGGGTGGTTTGGCTTAAACATTCTCAGATGCTGATGGTTGTGTTGGAGAAGATTCCTGGCAGGGTCAAGCTGTGGAGATTCCCTGGTGTATGGCTGAGCTGTGGGAGCTCGTGGCTCCTCCCCACATCCTCTGTTGCTGTAAGAGAGCAGGTGCAGTGGGGCGATGGAGGTTTAGACCACAAAGCAATCGCTCTAGAGTTGCTACTGGTTATATTTGTAAGATATTTTCTGGTGACTTTGTATGTAAAAATATGAAAGATCCAAGGTCTCTGATGCTCAGAAGTGAAATTCCCATTTTTCATTCTGTGGGAAAACTACTTTTGGGGCTGGCAGTGAGGGAGTGCATATAGGACCTGTGCTTATCCCTGTGATTCCACACAACCCATGCCTGTCAGGACAAAACCTGTTTGCTTGTGTTGTCCAGATGTCTTGGCAGCTCTTTGGGCAGAGCGGGATGCTGATGAATCACTAACAGTGGGGACCTGAAAGCAGTTTAACATTCTCCTGGAATAAAGCTGAGTGTCCTGTGGCTCTGGCTCTGCCTGCAGGGAGCTTGGGCCTTCAGCAAACGTTTAGTTTACAATTATCCAAGTGTTTGATCAGTTAGGACCTTTCTCCTCCCTGTTCCTTGTTCCTGCTCTGTTTTATGAGCAGGAGAAAAGCAGAACTGAGATTCCAAAATCTCTCGAGACTTTCACTAGAGAACGTGCCTCTTCCCAACCTACCTTGGTTGAAATTGCAGCACTTTGAGATTTAACTTCCCATTATTTGGTTGTTCTTAGTGGGTGTTGTGAGACAAAGACTGAGGTTGGGGCTGTGGGAGAGGTGAGATCAGGGCTAGTGGCTGCTCTGGAGCTTTGAACTGAGATCAGCAGTTGCTTATTCTCCATCCTCAAGGCATTCTCCTTGCCTCCTTCACAGATTTAGAGCATAATGAGATTAGAGCTGGCTCACAGCAGCATGTGTGTGCCCCTGGAGATCCCCCCAGCTCCCTGGGCTCTGAGGAGCAGGTGGTTCTGGTTTTGGTGCTGACCCTGTCAACAGCCTTTGTGTTTTCCTCGAGGGGGTAATTCCACTGACTGTCCCAGTGGTGGGGATCACAGGTTTGTGGAGGCTTTGGGGCATCAGGCCCTTAAAAACCCGGGGAGTGGCACGAGGTTCTTCCAAAGGCCATCATACCACGTCCAACAAGATGATTAGACGTTAGTCCAAGGTATCCAGTTTCTCCCAGTCCTGACCTCCCTTAATAAAGTTATTTCAGGAGCTTTGAGCTCTGGGAAATCTGGTGAAGCTCAGTCCTTGTGATTGAGGCAAAATCGTGTCTGGTGCCGTGGATCTGTGGCTGGCTTGGAAGCACAGCTTGGAGGAACCTCTGTGCAATATCAGCAGGATTTCCACAGGGTTTGGGGCTGCTGGAAGAATTTGGAGATCTGGGGATGCTGAAGCAAAGACGCTGGGAGATGTTTCCCAAAGCAGGACTGACTCTGTGGATGGAGTGGCTGGTGGTGTGGTACGGAGGAGTGAGCAGAGACACTCTATAGGGATAAAAAAATTGGTGTGGTTGGAAGGTGCTTGTCAAACATCTTTATTCAGCAAGAATGGGGCCAGAGCCTGGGGGGAGCAGGTATCTCCTGGGGGGAGGTAGTGGAACCCCCTGCACGACTCTCAGAGTTTGCAGAGGGATCAGCCTACGCTGGAGCCAACAAGCGCTTGGGGTTTCTCGGCTTCTGTGTGCAGTGACTAGTTTTTAAATCTCTTTTTTTCCTGTTCGTATCAGAGCAGTTGTTCTTGCTCCAAATTGTGTCACAGCAACTGAACTGATGGATCTGGTCTCCCAGTCCAGACTGGCTGCTTTAGGAGCAGAGGTGCTCGGGGAATTTGCTCGATACAAACACCCTTCTCGGTGTCGGTGTCAGGTCGTCACCACCTCCCTGTGGATTTTGACACAAGCCAGCGAGCTCCAACATGGGGTTTTGTAGCTCTAGATTTTGCATCCAAGTCCTGAAGTACTTCTCAAGGGCCTCAGGAGCTGAATCTCTCACAAGTGTTGCTCTGGGGTGAAGCTCAGCAGCTGTTCCACACCAGGCAGACAGATTGCTGCTGTGTGTCTTTCCCTGCCTTCTCACCCTGGGGTATAATTAGGTGCCGCAGGGGAAGTAGGACAGCTGCACGTGCCCTCAGCCAAGCCTGGCTGTGGTGGGAGCTGCTGGCTGCAAGACACCTTTGTGCTGGTGTTCCTGCGCCAGGCAGGTGAGGCTGATGGCTGGGCCGTGCTGGAGAGAGCCCTGGGGTAAAGGTTGAAGCCAAGCCCATGGCCCCATACCCAGTGGGGCAAGGTGGAGCCTGTTCCTGTGTACACGTCTCTGCTGTGTATGCAGGAAAGAGCAATAACAAAGGTCTTGCTATGGCTTGCTTCCAGTTTCCATCCCCAGTGCCTTGGCAATGCTGGAGTGTTTCTGGCCCCATGAGGATTTGTAAACCCTGTGTGTACATTCCCAGCCCCAGACAAGCTGCTCTTGGTTTAATCTGAGTTTGTGTCTCACCAAGAAAAAGGCAATGGGATTCAGAGCTGTGGGTTTCCCTCCCCAGTGCTGTGAGTCAGTGTGCTGCCTGGTCTGTGAGCCCATGTGGGGACATAATTGGGGCTGGAGGGTCCTCAGCAATTAGGTGAAGACATCGAGTGAAGATTTTGTGAAGGTAAAGATTTTGCCCAGAGAAGCTATGAACTCCCCATCTCTGGAAGTGCTCAAAGCCAGGTTGGATGGGGCTTGGAGCAACCTGGTCTAGTGGAAGGTGTCCCTGCACATGGCAGGGTGATAGGAATGAGATGAGCTTTAAGGTCTCTCTGACCCAAACCATTCTGTGATTCTACAATTCTATATAAAGCTCCAAGTGAAAGCTGAAATGCAATGTCAAAGCTCCCCCCACTCCTCCCCTGTCCAAAAGCGAGAGTATTCACACAAAATCTCACTGGAGAAGATGGATTATACGAGCCCATTGTCAATCATCACTAATAATAGCAGCTCCTGTCACTCTAGGTTGCTCCTGCCTGTAATGTTTGGAAGGAACTTCCAGCCTTCTCAGAAAAACAAGGCCTAAATATTTCTTTTTCTGTGATTTTGAAATCTTTTTAGCACTGTTTTTTTACTGGTGTTCAGATACTGTCCCCTGTCCTGCAGTCTGGTGACATTTTGGACTGCATTTGCATTGGCTGCACTGGGATCACCATTCCATGCCTCAGGATGCCTGACAGGGTTGTGAACATGGGATTTAAACCAATTCTCTGGTACTGGTGGTGTGGGATAGTGGGCAGAGCCTCAGCTCCAGTAAAATATGGAAGTGGAGGTGGCAGAGGAGTAGGGGGACTCACCGCTTTCCAAGTGCTGCCTGGGAGAGTGAAGGACAAGGCTGGGCTATGCTGTCACCATGGGCACATCCAGGTTTGTTATTTAAAGCATCTGAGTCCAGAGATCCCTTCTTCACGTTCTCAGAGAGCAATCCTGGAGGTCTCATGGGATGGGTGTCAGCACGGATCAGGGTCTCACCTGGAGATAAAGGAGCCGGGTGCCGTGTTTCCTGCTGTGAACAGGAAGCACAGGCACACAGAGTCCTGCTCATGTGGGCACAAGCCAGCACTGTGCTGCTCAGGAAGGTGAAGGGAACGAGTTACTCATTCTGTGGTGCTGCTGCTGCTCCCAAACTCCAGTGGCTGATTTCATGGGTGTTTTCTCTTGTCTCTCTAGGTTGACCTCTCGCACTTGTCCCCAGAGGAGAGATGGAGGTGAGTGTGTTGGGAGGTGAATCAGTGTGTACAGCTCGAGTGAGCTCCTAATCCTGGCTGGAGTGAGTGGCAGCACAGCCCGTGTTCACAGTGGGAGAGGACAGGGTCAGCATTTTTTGCTGGAGGGAAGAATGAATTGTCTTAAAAGGCACGTTTTTTTTCTTTTAAACTACTTGCTAAATATTAGAATCACAGAATAGTTTAGGTTGGAAAAACCTTCTGAGACCATCAAGTCCAAGCATTCCCCCAGCACTGCCAATGCCGCCACTAACCCATGTCCCCAAGCGCCACATCCACACCTCTGTTAAATCCCTCCAGGGATGGGGACTCCCCCACTGCCCCGGGCAGCTGTGCCAGGGCTGGACAATCCTTTCTGAAGAAATTTTCCAAAATATTGAACCTAAACCTCCTATGGCACAATCTGAGGCTGTTTTCTCTTGTTCTGTCACTTGTTACCTAGAAAAAGAAACCAACCCCCACCTCAGTCCACCCTCGTGTCAGGGAGTTGTAGAGAGTGAGAAGGTTTCCCCTGAACCTCCTTTTCTCCAGGCTGAGCCCCCTCCAGCTCCCTCAGCCACTCCTTATCAGTCTTGTGCTCCAGACCCTTCCCAAGCTCTGCTACCCTTCTCTGGACACCCTCCAGGCCCTCACTGTCTGCCTTGTAGTAAAGGGCCCGAAAAATTCCTCCTTTTCCCTAACCTAAACCAATTTTGGCCAGATGCTTACTGAAAATCACGGTGAGACTGGTCTCTCGGTATTGCATCAGTACAGGCTGGGGGTTGACCTGTGGGAAGGTGTAAGGATGCTCTGTGGGGAAGGACATGGGGGTCCTTGACAACAAGCCAGCAGTGTGCCATGGGGGCCAAGAAGGCAGTGGTGTCTGAGGAGGCATTGGGAAGAGCATTGCCAGCAGGTTGAGGGAAGTGATCCTGCCCCTCTGCTCAGAACGGATGAGGCACATATGCAGTGCTGTGTCCAGCTCTGGGCTCCTCAGGACAGGAGAGACATGGAGCTCCTGGAGCAGGTCCAGTGGAAGCTGCGGAGATGCTGAAGGAACTGGAGTGTCTCTAGGAGCTGGAAAGGCTGAGGGACCTGGAGCTGTTCAGCCTCCAGAGGAGACACTGAGAGAGGACCTCCCCAGTGTGTGTCAGGGTCTGCAGGGAGGGGCAGAGGATGGACCAGGCTCTGCTCAGGGGGGCCCAGCAACAGGACAAGAGGAACAGGCAGTAACTGATGCCCAGGAAGTTCCACTTGAACATGAAGAACTTCCCTGTGCAGGTGATCGTGCACTGGGATGGATTGCCTACAGAGGGTGTGGAGATCCCTCGCTGGAGATATTCCAGAACTGTCTGGACACAATCCTGTGCCATGTGCTCTGGGATGACCCTGCTTGAGCACAGATGTTGGACCAGATGACTCACTGTATTCCCTTCCAACCTGACCCATTCTGTGATGCTGTGTTAATTTTTAGCGGAGGAGTTAAAAATCAGAGAATTTGGCATATTTATTGTATTTGGATTTTTTTTCTTCTAACTTGAACAGTATTATCACCTGGAGACCAAGACATAAGGATGTCACAGCTCTTAATTCCACCTTGGTTTTTGGTCAAACAGCACAATCTGTGAAGAAACTCCAGATATATGGCAGGCATCAGTCTGGAAATCACTTGTTCCAGCATGCTCATGGTGGAGAGAAGCGATTTGCTGGGACTTGGGGGTTTTGTTAGGTGTCACCTGTCCCCTACCCTTGACCTTTCCAGCTTTTCCCTTGCTGGGCAAGAGGGAAAATGGTGTTAGTGGCTCCAAACCTGGGCTGAGGGTTTGGTAATGAGAATTGACACACACTCAGGGGGTCAAACATTTGCAATGTGCTCTGGGAGGACCGTGCTTGATCAGGGAGGTTGAAACAGATAACCCCAACACTTCTAACCTTGCCCATTCTGGGACTGTGAGTTATGTGGACTGTATGCTCCATGTTTGTTAATTCAGGTATGTCAGGGGGAGTTCACCTCCTTCGCACCTGGATGGGCTGGGTGTTCTTGACTTTCACAGCATAGAAATGAGTTGGTCCCAGAGCAACTTTTTGTCCCTCCTCCTCTGGATTGTTCACGGCCCCTGACTCCATGATTCTTCTTTGAGCTGTTTTTCTGTCTGGTCTTCCCGGCTCTCCCGAGCTGTCTGTGCCCCGCTGTGCAGTCTGTGCCTGCGTGCTTTTCAGCTGCTTTTCCCTGGTTGTTGCAGGGTGGAGCACGCACGGATGCACGCCAAGCACCGCGGGCACGAGGCGATGCACGCCGAAATGGTCCTCATCCTTATCGCCACGCTGGTGGTGGCACAGCTCCTGTTGGTTCAGTGGAAGCAGCGGCACCCTCGCTCCTACAATGTAAGTGACCCCCCGCAGCTTTTCTGCCTGAGGCTGGATGTGAGTGTTGACTGACACCCTCCTTTTGCTAATGGGAAGTGTGTTCCTGGTTTTCCTATTGTCTGATGTTGCGATTCCCTTTTGACTTCCTAGCAGCATGGGGGGATTTTAAGTAGGGATGAGGATGGATGGACCTGAAAGCCTCAGATTTCTGCAGGAAGCAATACCAATAACTCAGTGTGACATGGTGCCTTGACACCAGGGATGGACGAGCAGATCTCAGGTGTTGTCTGGAGGGAAGCTGCATTTTGTGGGTGCTTCCTCAGAAGCAATGGGAGCTCCCTGCTGCCAGGACCCTGGGTTTGATGGTTCCTGCAGCACTCTGCTGAGCATACCTGCCACGTGCCAATGCCACCAGCTGGGTGGCTGGGTCTGTTATTTAACTGAACCAACTTCACTCTGACTTCCTTGTCATAATGATAATATTGTCATAATTAATGTCTCCCAGGAGTACCTGTAATCCTCTGTGAACTTTAAACCAAACCTGTTTGCCCGTTTCCCTTCAGCAGCACCACGAGAGCTCAGCTGCACAGCTGTAGATCTGTTTGGGAATAGGCTGGAGTGCAGAGACAAGCCAAAACCTTCTTGCCTTGTGTAACACCTGCCTGTGGTTGCAGCGTCAGGACCCTGGGAAGACAAGGGTTTATGTAGCTGCCTTACAACAAATTCGTTGGGTGGACCATCTCCTGTACCTTACTCTGGAGATGGTTCCTCTGCATTTTCCCTCCAGCTCTATCCTTTGCTACCAAAAATCACCTGAGTGCTGCCTCTGACTCCCTCACAAAATCACAGAACCATTTGGGTTGAAAAAGCCCTCCAAGATCATGGAGTCCGACGAGCACTGCCAAACCCCACCACTAACTCTTGTTCCCAAGTGCCACATCCACATGTCTTTCAAATCTCTCCAGAGATGGTGACTCCACCGCTGCCCTGGGCAGCCTGTGCCAGGGTTTGATCACCCTTTCAGGGAAGCGATTTTCCCCATATCCAACCTAAACCTTCCCTGACACAACTTGAGGTCATTTCCTCTTGTCCTATCCCTTGTTACCTGAGAGCAGAGCCTGACCCCACTTGGCTCCCCCCTCCTGTCAGAAGTTGCAGAGAGCAAGAAGGACCCCTCTGAGCCTCCTTCTAAGCTAAGCCCCCCTCAGCTCCCTCAGTTGCACCCCATCAGACTCATGCTCTCAGCTGAGCTCTGAGCTGTTTTCTGGGTGCTGCAGACCAAATCTCTGCAGTTTCCTGGTGCTTTTCAGGGCCCTTGGATGCAGGCAAGAGAATGGCTGCCATGGCTGTCAGGATGTTTCTGATATCTGAGAAGCAGAGAACCAGCTCTGAGTGCCTTTCCTCTGTTCCTGCAGATGGTGACCCTCTTCCAGATGTGGGTAGTGCCTCTGTATTTCACGATCAAGCTGTATTGGTGGCGGTTCCTGGGGATCTGGGTGCTCTTCTCAGCAGTCACAGCTTTTGTCACCTTCAGGGCAACTCGAAAGCCTCTGGTACAGACAACACCCAGGTTCGTCCGTGTGTTCCTGAGGGAACTTCTCAGCCCCAGAGTAACCATTACAAGGAGCTCTTTCCGGTTTCCCTGCCACAGATGACTTATGTAAAGCTTTGCTTCCTGGGAGCCTGGTGTGAAGGACTTAACTGGCTGCTGGCAACCAGCCCGATGCACCTGGTACCCGGGTGGGTGGTGGAAAGGCAGATTCCACGTGGGCTGGTAGCCTCACCCAGGGCATTCACGGTGTGCAGCATGCTTCCTTTGGAGATCTTGAGGTTTCTAGTTTGAAAGTTAAGACTGTGAGCAGCCCATGGCAGGTTGAATTAGGCATGTAAAGCTCTTGCCCATGTGTAGGGGTAGGTGATTTGTCTGCAAAAAATCTGTGGATTTGAAAAATAAAACTCTTCGGGTGATTGGCACAGTTTCATTCAGGAAAAAACAAAGGCGTTAAATTCTTTGTTTTAATTCTTTACAGACTGGTTTATAAATGGTTTCTGCTTATATACAAGATCAGCTATGCAACTGGGATCGTGGGGTACATGGCTGTCATGTTTACACTCTTTGGTCTTAACTTATTATTCAGGTGAGTGAATCTTTCCCACTTCTGGGGCAATAGGGTGTAACATGTCACTGAATATTACTCTGGAAAAACAATTGTCTTGGCAATCTGATTAATGGCACCAAAGAGACTATTGGGGTGTCCTTTTGCTCCTGAGAGGATCATGGGTGAGGTGCTGGTACCTGAACTAGTCCAGATTGCTGGAGAGCCCTTTTTCCAGCTCAGCTCTTGGCAGCTCCCCCAGCTCTATGGTATCCAGCCTGGGGCAGCAGTGGAATTTTTTTTGCTGTACTGATGAAGATGTACCTGCAAGAAGCAGCGAGCCCAGGAGTGGTGGCAGAGGAGTCTAGTCCAAGCCAGCTTCATGTTTAGACAGGTTGACTACTTCTCTGGAACATTCTCTGGAATCGTATATTCTCTGGAATATGATAAGAGTGGCTTTGCCCTCAAAAAAACCTCTTGATGGTTGGGCTTTTCTGTTGTAGAATCAAACCAGAAGATGCAATGGACTTTGGCATCTCCCTCCTCTTCTATGGTCTTTACTACGGAGTGCTGGAGCGGGACTTTGCCGAGATGTGTGCAGATTACATGGCCTCAACCATTGGGGTGAGTTCACAATGAGCTGTCCCCCAAGACAGAGTCATCCCCCATATCGGGGGGCCCGGAACATGTTGGTCCTGGCAGCAGCTTTGGCTTCCCTCAAATGGGAAAGTGCATAGAACTTCCCCCTCAAGGAAGGGTGTCTGGCTGTAATGTAGCAAAGAGTTGCTCTGAAGCCTTCCTGAATAGTGAAGCCTCTGCTGGGTCCCCTCATTCCCAGAAGGACAAGAAGTTCTTCCCCAGGAGTGTGTGGTGGCCCTGGCACAGGTTGTTCAGAGACTTTTGCTGTCCCTGTGGACAGAAGGCTTGGTGGCCCAAAATCTGTAGCCCACTCATGTGGTATCAAAATAACCCACTCCACTAAAAATATGTGACCTAGGAAGGAGACCAGTGGAGTAGGTCATATTTCTTCTTTTCAGCAGCTGTTTAGGGTCTTGGGCTTTGTGTTTCCTCCTCTTCCTTTCTGAGCTTTCTGCTGCAGCTTCTTGAGGTTCTTCTCCAGTCTTTCACCTGCCACACTGCAACACCTTGGCACAGCTTGGGTCTCTCTCAGATCCCCTGGGCTCTGTCAGATGCTCAGATCAAAGCTGTGCCAAGACTCTGAGGGGGATGTGTTTTTGCTGATGATACTAAACCAGGAGGAGCTGTGGCCTCTTAGGAGTGAGAGCTGGACAGACAAGAGAGCTGGGCAAGCTTCAGCCGTGTGAAATTTAGCAGGGCAAGTGCCAAGATTCTCCTCCTGGGGTGGTATAATCCTGGTTATAGGTACAAATTTGGAGACAAGAGCCTGGAGAGAATCCTGTGAAAAAGGATTAGGGAGTTTGGGTTGACAACAAGTCCCTCAGCATGGAAAGGGGGTGCGTGGGGCTGGGATGTGATGGGCCACTGCAACACTGAGCAGCTCCCTGTCCTGTTGTAGTTGTTTCCCACAGCTGGACCTGTAACAAGGTTTTTAAGCCCCAAAGGCCGAGGCGACTCCCGGGGTGCTGACCCCAGCCCTCCTTAGAGCTTAGCCGTGCCACCGCGGGCATGGGACACATGCCCTCCCGCTGTCACCGCTCTCCCTCTGCTCTGCCCTCGCTCAGTTCTACAGCGCCTCGGGAATGCCCACCAAGCACCTCTCCGACAGCGTCTGCGCCGTCTGTGGCCAGCAGATCTTTGTGGACGTCAACGAGGAGGGGATCATCGAGAACACTTACCGCCTCTCCTGCAACCACGTGTATCCTTCTCTGCAGGTGCTACCCCCTCACCTTGCTGGCCCCACGCTGGGGTGAGCAGCAGGGAGCTCCTGCCCCATGATTTCTCCCACAATGGGTGAAGAAATGCCCATCCTGGGACTTGGGGCTGTCTGGCTGAATTTGCACGTGATCCATGCCTGTGTCATAACTGACTCAGCATCCATGAAATCACTTCTTTGCCACCTCCACGTGCATCACAAGTGGTTATTTCCTTCCCCTTTCTTCCCCTCCCCAGCTCTCTCTGCTGAGCCATGGAGCTGCACCTCACTTTGCACCTACCTTTGCCAAATCTGCTGTGACCTATCTGCCTGACAGTGGCAGCTCTGATGGTGTGAGGTTAGGATATGCCCTGCTCTGTGCCACACTGGCCCCTCATCAGAGACCCAGTGCAGTGGGTCCTGTCTGAGTCTCCATAAGGGAAAATCGAGGAAACACTGCTGGCCCCTTTCTTAAAACAGCCCCCAGGTCCAGCACTGCTGGTCACTGCCTGTTCTGATCACTAAGCCTGGCAGCTTCCTCCTTTCCCAGAACTCCTCCAGGGTTTCCAGGACCCTGGAGTCACTCAGCCCTTCATATCAGGTGATTGATAAGAAGTGGGTTTTGAAACTGGAAGTTCTGGTTGTTGCTCAGCCCCAGCTGAGCAGGGTTTTTTCTCTGTGGTGACTCAGCCTGGAAGTGGGGTGTCCTCTGGCACTGTGTGCGTTACTGCCTGCGAGGTGGTTTCCAAACTGGGCCTAGGCAAAGGTCATGCTGGCAAAACTCATGGCCTAAATTTAACTGTTAGGAACTGTTTGTGAGATTTATGGCTGACCCATGTAGAGTCTGGGACTGTGGCAGCACTGGGTAGTGTGGTTGTCAGAGGAGCTGGTCCATGCTCCTGGTGGTCCTCAGGGGTGAGGGCTGGCTGGGCACCCCTGGATCTATGGCTCTAGGGCTGACAAGGTGCAGCCCCTCTTGTTGGTGACTCCCTGGCATTCCCCCTTGGTTTGAGCAGCAGAGATATTCTGAGGAAAGTTTGTTTGCTCAGTGACACCCTTGTGTGTGGCAAGTTGGCTGCAGCCACCTCATGTTTCCCTGTAACTTCTCCAGGCAGTGCTCAGTTGTGCACATCCTTGTGACCGAGCACAGCAGTAAGCTAGACCCTGGGAGAAATTTCTCAAATATGTTGTCAATCCCTAGGAAGCCTTTGAAGAAGGCTTCCAAAATGCACACAGTTCACAGAGCTCTCCCAGACTGCCTGAACCTTCTCAGTGCTGGGCATCATCAGTAAAGGGTTTCAGTTTCCCTGGTGCCCATGCGTTGGTCAGGCCATCATTCTGCCTCTCTAGTCCTGTTCTGCTGCCCTGTGAGCCCCTTCTGCTGTCCCTGGAAGCTGCTGCATCTTCTAGGAAAGGTCTGTGGTTGTGCAATGACTCGTCCTCATGTGGCAGGATGTTTCCTTGGCCTGGGGGGACTTCCTTAGGCTTGGTGGTTCCCTTCACACTCAGTCATATGTCCCCCTCTTCCTCTAGTTCCCCTTAACGTGCCACTCCCCAGGTTTCATGAGTTTTGCATCCGTGGCTGGTGCATTGTTGGGAAGAAGCAGACGTGTCCATACTGCAAAGAGAAGGTGGATCTCAAGAGGATGTTCAGTAATCCGTATCCTTTCTCCTGCTAGGAGTCAGCACTGTGGGAAGGAGAGCAGTGGGTAGAGCACTTAAGGGGTGAGGGCCTCATCTTACCCTGGGTAAGCCACAGCTTTCCCATGACTGTGGCAGAGACCCTGCAAAACCCAAGGCAAGCCTGGCCACAGCTTTCCTTCTTTGGGGACCCGTGTCTGTCCTTCCCTGGGTGCCGGTGTCCGTCCCTCCCTGGGCACCTGTGTTCTCTGTCCCTGCTTTGGGGCACCTTTGGGTGGCTCCTGGGTGGGCCGTGCTCCTCTCACCCATCTCCCTGTGGCTCTTTAACTCCTTCCTGCCCAGCTGGGAGAGGCCTCACGTAATGTATGGGCAGCTGCTGGACTGGCTGCGCTACCTGGTGGCCTGGCAGCCAGTGATCATTGGACTGGTCCAGGGAATCAACTACATCCTGGGGCTGGAGTAAGCGCAGGCGGTGGGGAGCCGCAGAACCATGAGAGGACACGTACCCAGGGCCGGGGACAGTTGCCACCGGAGATGCTGGCTTTGCTCCATCACCTCTCAGGACCTCGGCCACCCCTGAGGACAGCAGCATTAGGGCCCCTCCTGCTGGGGCTAAGGGAGGATTTTTTTAAAAAGCAATTATTTTAATGAGTGTATTTAAAACTTTCTATTGCAGCTGAAAAGAGACACTTGTCCCCTTTCCCTGCCCCTCTTGGGTCCTTCACAGCACCCCACTGGGCTGAGCTTTGGGCTGGGGGCTGTTCTCCAGCTCCCTCCTGCTGCTCTGCCAGGGGAGGCCGTGGGGAGAAGGGCTGAGGCTTTGCTGGCTCTGATGCTGGCACCCCGGAGCAGCCTTGCTGGCAGCAAGGATGGGATGTGGGGGGCTGCAGAGGAGAGGCTGGAGCCCAGTGCCCTGAAAGAGGGGACAGAGGGATGCCTGGCTACCCCAGACTGCCGGGCCCACTTCTGGGTGCCATGGGTGTGCTGGGAGGAACCACGCTGCTCACTGGCACGGTGATAGTGGGCTCTGTCTCGGGGAACCCTTTTATATGCTCCCAAATTTTTTATGTTCCTCCCTGGAGGTCAGCGTTGTCCCCTGGCAGCTTGGAGTTGTCAACCAGGACATGGAATGGGACCAGTGCTGTTCCTCTCTCTGTGCCCTTTTGGGTGACGGTACATCAAGAGCAGCCCAAGAGTGGGTGCCCCTGCCCCAGGGCATGGGGGCCTCCTCACTGGGTGTTGCTCTTCTTGGCACTGGAATAAAAGGGATGGAGCAAAGGTTGGGCTGGTGCTGGCATTTCCTTGCCCTGGCATTGCACCATGGCATCCTCCTGGCCATGCCAGTGGGAGCCGTGCCACAGTCCTGCTGGTTTATTGGCAGCAGGTGGGGGCAAAGTCCCCTGAGGGCCAGTGGTGGTATTTTGGCATGCGGATACTTGAGCCATATCACCTGAGGAGACGGGTCTGGTGAGGGGCTACGAGGCAGCTCCTAGCTCAGGGGATTTGGGAAGTGGCATGGCTGTGGGCACCACGTGGGCTGTGTGCCCCCCCTCCCCTGGGGAACCCCAGTGCCCTGCTATGCCCTTTGGGTTTTCTTTCGGGTGAAACCACATTGCAGTGTTGTGCCAAACACTGAAATAAGAGTCCTGGAAATGGAGACGTGGCACTGGGTTTTTTTTGATCGTCTTCCCTGCTCCAGAGTGAGGCCATGGTTCCTCCTTTCAGCTCTCCCAGGGGGATGGATATCACGTGGATGGCAAACAAACACCTGTGGCACGCAGAGTTCAGCTGGTTGGTGTTGGTGGGAGCAGGGAGGTGGCAGAGGAGCACAGGGCATTGGGTACTGCTATGGGAGCGGCCTCTGGCCGGTCACTGCCCATTGGACACCCATGGGTGCTGTGGAGAGGATGTGACTGCTGGCCTCATCCTAGCAGGAGGATAGGGACGTGTTGCACTTGGCTGGTCCCCAAGATAAACATTCCTGTTCCCGCCACCTTTCTGCCCTGCTGGGAACAGGGATAATGAAACTCACTGGGTGATTAGGGACATTTTCCAGGCAGTGCCAGGGCCTGCAGCTCAGGTGGCTGCTTCTGCCCTGTGGCTGTGCCTGCGCTGGCTCCTGGCCTCCACGGTGCTGGGGAACGGGACTGGTGGGTTGCTGAAACTGTGTCTGCTGCCAAGGGGCTGGCTCAGGGGATGAGGGGGCTTTGCTGGGGGACAGGGGAGAGGAGCCCAGTCGTGCCCCTTCTCAGGCTTCCCACAGCCAAGCACCAGAGTGAAGCCTGGTTTGGGTCCTGGGGGATTCCTCTCCGCTAAGCTGTTGTCTTGCCCCATCTCGAACACCCAGTTATCAGCAGCCGGGGCTCCTCCGACTTGCTGTGCGTGCTCAGACCCCCGGGGGCTTAACCCGCCTCCCTGTCTTGTGCAGACCCTGACTTGCCCCTGACTCCAGAGTGTCGGGGGACAAACCGGCATGTCCCAGAGTCCTGTGACGCCCCTTGGCTCAGCCTGTGACCCACGTGATGGAGACGGGGTCCCAACCGAGCCCCGCTCCTTCATCCCTGGGAGGCGCATGGATGCTCGCACAGGGGCAGGTGGGACACACGGTGTGCTGGTCATGGGAGTGCCTGAGGGACGTTCGCCCCAGGTGGAGCATAGGGGGCACGGAATGCTGGGGACAGCAGGCACGTTCTCGGAACCAGGGGATATGGGGCCACTCGCCCTATGGACACGCAGCGGGGCCGGTGCGGGTCCCGATCGGCGTTTAGATGTGGATCCCGGTGCCGTGGCGTCGCGCCACATCGGCGGGGCCGGAGCCGGAGCCACGGGCGGTCCCAGTGAGTCACGGCGCTGCCGCTCGCCCCGCCCCGGGGCCGCCCCTTAAAGTGCCGCCGTGGCGAGCGCCGCCGCCCCATGGCTGAGCCACGGCTGCCCTGTACGGACCGGGCGGGGGGACAGCTTTGGGGGGCACCAGCCGCGATCTGAGGGATCCTGGGAGGAGGATGCCGGAGGGAACGGGACCATCCCAGGCTCAGGGGATGGGGAGGCGCTGGGGAGGGGATGTGCTGGGTGGATCAGGTTAACTGGGGGGTGCTGGGGGGAAGTGAGTGGACGGGAGCATCCTAGGCTTGGGGAGTACTAGGGGGGGATGATGGGGAGACCACGACCTGCTGGGGGGAATGCTGGGGAGATGCGAGAGGACGAGCCCGGGGGTTGCTGTGGGGGAGATGCTGGGGGAACCGTGACCAGCTGGGAAGATGCTGAGGGGACGGAACCATCCCAGGCTCGTGGGGAGCATCTCGGCATGTCCAGCGCTGAGCTCCATCTCTGCCTGCAGGGCCCCCAGGACCCTCTGCCTGGTTCCTCCTGCTTCTGCCCTGCTGGGCCCTGGCCGTTCTCTGTGCAGGTAGGTGGGGGTTACTGGGGGAGCTGGGGAGGCTAGGGTCACCTCTGGGCTCTGTGCCTCTCAAGGGGCCTGTGCAGGGTTCTGCAGATGAGGAGTGCACCCATTCCTCTATGGGACCCTGCCCTCTCACCCATCCCAGAGATGTGGGGTCTCAGGGGGTTGCTCTTGACCTCCTGCCTTACTCCACTCTGCTCCCCCAGGTGCCATGGCCCTGCAACTCCCCAGCATCACCACCCTGCGGATGCCAGCAGAGGCCCCCTGTCCAGGTGAGAGACCCCTGGGGCCATGGCAGGGATGGCGAAGCTGCATGAGTCCCCCAGCTGGGTGAGGCACAGTGGGGTCAGCTCCTGGGTCAGCCCCCAGCACACACACAAGGTGCATCTTCTACCCACAGCCAAGATTCTGGGGTGCTGACAAGGTGGGGGGGCATTCTCCATTGCTGGGGGGTGCAGGAGGACTGTGACTGTGGCCAGCCTGAACAGGGGGGCACTGGGGACCCTTGCAGCACCCCTGATCCCCACGTCCCCTCTGGCCGCAGGCAAGAGTGTGACAGTGTCATGCGAGGTGACAAGCGGGCTCCCAGAGCTGACGCTGCTTTACTGGCTGGCGAATGGCTCCTTTGTGGAGAGCCTGTACCCGGATGGGGCCGTCCGTGAGGGGACAGTGCAGTGAGTATGGGGATGGGGGGCACAGAGACAGCAGGGTGGCCCCAGTTGGGGCAGGGTCCCTGGATCTGCCAGCCCAGGGTGGGCACTGATGGGTCCCCCCCGGGTCTGCAGAGAGGAACTGTGGGGCTCGGGGGTGGCTCTGCTCCGTGACCTGCACTTCAGCTCCTTCAACACCCAGCACCTGCTCACCAACTTCACCTGCGTGGTGCTCAGTCCTCTCGGTGTCGACACCAGGGAGGTGCGGTGGCCCCCGCCAGCACCAGCCCCTGTCACTGTCAAGACAGGGGGGCTGGGCTGAGACCAGGGATCAACTCGTGACTGGTGAGCAAGAGGGTCCCTGCTCCAGCAGCACCGCACTGCTATGTGCGCGTGTGACACCTCCATAGAGGCCCATCTCCGTGACCTGCTGTTGGGACACATGGCCCCACATGTGCTGGCCCCACTGAGCCTGGGGCTCCTGATGCCTGGGCCAGCCCCGGCCCTGCCTGTAGCTGGCTATGGGACCCCAGGGTTTATTAAAGTACATCAAGGCTGCCTGGTTGTCACCTGCATCCTGGGGATGGTGCTGCCCATGAGTGCACAGGGCTCTTGTGGGATGAGGAGGGAGGGAGAGGAAGTGGCCCTGGTGCCCGTGAAGGGCAGGATCCATCCCTGACCCTCTCTCTGCCTGGCGAAGGGCTGGAAAACCATGGTCAGTCCCAAATCTGCCTAGGGAATGCCTGGCCCCACGGCTGTGCTCTGCTCTGGAGGAGGAGGGTAGGTGGGGAAGCCCTGGGGTGCAGGGACCCCCAGGAGATAGGCCCATCACATCGGCCTCTGCACTTGGGGGAAGTTGAGGCTGTCCCCCAGCATGGCATTGCTGAGCCCCACCTACTGTTCCATGGGGCAGCCCCCCTAACCATCCTGTCCTGGCAGGGCTCCTGCTCTTAGGTACTGGGACTGGGGTCCCCGGTGACAGCCCCCTTCCTGCTCATGGGGGGTGTGACCCCCCTGGGCTGCGGGACAGCCTGGACCCCTTGAGCAAGACTGGGCTGCAGGCATTGCACTGCAGCACACTCAGGATGTGGGAGGGATAGAGGGGGCTGGAGAAGCCCCCAGCTGCAGCCCCATGAGGTGCCCCCAGTCCAGGGAACCGCAGGAGACTCCTGGGGGACACTCCTGTCCCACAGCTACTCTTAGGAGCCAGGATAAGGTAAGCAGTGGAGCAGCCACCTGGGCAGGGACCTGCCCAAAACAGCCCTGCTGCACCCCCAAGCCCTGTTGATGCCAGCCCCCATCCCTGGGACAGCCCCTCACAGACCCCATCCTGACGTCTTCTTGATGGGGTCGAGGTCAGTTGAGGGCTGTCAGTGGCAAGGGTCCTGGCCAGAAGGTGCTCCACAGAGGGCAGAGCCCCTGAGGGAAGCCCACAGATGCCGAGGTGCTGCAGACAGGGAAGCAACTGGTTACTCCGCGAGTGGCTGGGGAGGTGGGGCAGCAGGAGCACAGCAACTCAGGGAGGGTGGTGGGGCCTGAGAGGTGGCTGTGGAGAGAGGCAGGGCAGGCTGGGGGAAAGCACCCCCAGCTCCATCTCTGGCCAGAGCCCCTCCTTCACACATGTCCCGGCACCGACCCAGATCCCAGTGCTGGGACCAGCTGAGACCTGCCCTGCTGTGTCACCCACAAGAAGCAACTCCCTTGGGATCCCAGCCAGAAGTGTGTCCCAAAGCCTTGTAGGTGCAGGTCAGGGTGCTCCTGACTGGGGATGCAGTGCTTGCACCAATCCTTCTCTCATGCTGCTGAGGATGCAGTAAGTTGTGGCTCAGATCAGCAGCAACATCTCTCCCTGGGAGCCCCTGTGTCTGCCCAGCAGGGCACGGAACACTTGGAGGATCAGAGGCAAAGAGGGGGGACCATGGGGCCAAAACTGGTGACACTGGGGTGACAGCCCACAGCTGGGCCCCCAGTCTCACTTCCAAGCCAAAGTGAACCTCCAAAACGTCATCACCCATCTGGCTGAGCCACCTCTGGCTCCTCCTGTGACAGTGATGGCACCTCGGCCATGCTCACCCATCACCCCCACACACCGTCAGGTTTCATGTCCCTCAGGAGCAGGGTCCTCCCCAGATGAGAGGTCCTATCAGCCAATGGCGAGACGGACAACAGCCAAACGTGGGGGGATACCCATGGGTGATGAGGGGTCAGGGAGTTGAGAGTTGGAGGTGCTGGGGACACAGAGGGGTCCTGTGTCTTGCTGGGATGGCACACAGAGGATTTACTGTAGTGGGGTGATTGTGAGTGGGCAAGCAGCACTGCCCCTGGTTGGGGGCAGGAATCCAGCTGGGGGGGGTTCCTGGTGAGAGGAAGGAGACACTCTCCCCTTCGGGAGCCCTGGGACTAGGAGAAAGCTCTGGTGTGAGGAGAGAGCCTGGTCAAGGCAGCCCTGGAGGCCAAGGAAGAAGGGAAAGCAAAACCACAGAGTTTCTGTGCTCATCTTATTGTAAATTAGTCTCATTCCCATTAGTGGCTGCTTCTGCTTACTGTGACCTGTGGATGTGTCCACGCTGGAGCAAGAAACCCCAAGGTGTCTGTGGCCATGGATATGTCTGTGCTGCAGCAGGAGCACCTCTGAAGGGAATGTGGCCCAAGGACCGCATGATGGAGAAGATACACCTTGAAGCATCTCCGGCTGTGCAGGAAGTCATGCTGGAGCACCTTGAAGTGTGTGGCCATGGATAAACCCACAACAGAGCAGGTACACCCCTGGAAGGACTGCAGCCATGGAGAAGGTCAGGCTGCAGCAGGTATATGCCCCATTCCTGGAAGTGTTCAGTGTTGGATGGAGCTTGGAGTGACTGGATCCTAGTGGAAGGTATCCCTGCCCATGGAACGGGGTTGGAACAAGATGACTTAAAGGTCCCTCCCAACCCAAACCATTCTGTGATTCTATGATTTTGTGAACGTTTGTGGGCATTTTATGGGCATTTTATGGACATTTCACAGGAGTGATCCACCGACAAAGGGAATGATATCTGTATATGATAGCAAAGGGTGGTGGTGGATACTGGATAGTGTGGGGCCTGAGCAGGATGTACATGGCATAGAATAAGAGGTGGAGAATGTGCTGCATTGGTTAGGGAGGAAGAGTTCCATTTCTTCCCTGAGACTGGGGTTTGGATTTGTGCTGGCCAGAGCACTGATAACCCCTGGATGTTTCAGTCAGTGCTGAGCATCTTTGCTGCTCCTCACACTGCTCCAGCAACAGAATTTTGGGGTTTTTAATTGTGGGTTGGTTTAGCCGACACCAAGTGTGCTGGTAACATCCCTGTCTCTGAGGGGAATAGGATCTTTGCGCAGGAGTTAGCAGGGCATGTTGTGTGAGAGTTAAACTGGATTTGAAGCGGGGAGGGGATAAAATCAGGACACTGGAGATAAGCCTGGGGGTGACACCCCAGTGTTGAGGGACTGTGTGCTAGCGAGGTCCTTCAGTCTGCTGTCTCAGTAGAGAGGTAGGGAATGGAGATCCATGCAGCAGCAAGTGTTACTGATGTGCTAGAAACCATGGAAGCTCATGAGAATGGTCACTCAGGAACTGGAGATTGTCTTCCCAAAAAGCCACTGGGATCAATAACCCCACTAAAGTGCATCTACCCCAATGTCCACAGCATGGGCAGCAAACAGGAGGATCTGGTGCAACAGGAAAACTATGGCATAGTTGCCATCATGGGGACATGGTGGGATGACTGGCACAATGGGAATGGTGCAACTGATAGTGGTGAACTCTTCAGAAGTGACAGGCAGGGACTGAGAGGTGGTGGGGTAGCCCTGTTATTTAACATATTCAGTAGGGGGAGGCCTGGTGGTCTGCTAAGAGAGTGATGGGACATCTTTAAGTCTATAGGTTTGGTCAGGAGGAGCTGTTAGCGGGGATGGACAGTTCTGACTGTGAGAGCACTCTACAAGAAGGTGTTTGAAGTAAGACAAGACTCATCAGACTAATTCAGTAAACACTTTCTTAAAGAACAAAGTAAATGTGAAACAACTGTTTTAGAAAGCAGTTAGAATTTTTTTAATACATTGTAAGCTGAGAATCGAAATCTGCAGGTAAAGTTTAAGGTTGTGCCTCACACAGAAAAAGATATAACCATGTACCTCTCATTGCAAAAGAACCTGAGGCTCCCATGGAATAACTCTGGTTAGATGGCAGCTCAGGAGATCTGCAGTTGGGTCCTAAAATCTCTCAAGGATGGAGCCTGCACACCTTCATTAGGCAACTTGCTCCACTGCCTGCCTGATATCGAGGGGCAACTTTTTTCCATGTATTAACCTCATCTTCCCTTCTCCAGGCTGAGTGTGCCCGGCTTCCCCACACTTTTCTCACAATCACATGTACCCCTGCCCATTTTGGTGGCTCTCCACTGGACCATTTCAGTTGATCTGTATTTTCCCAGGGAAGGGCCTCTCATCCAGCACATGCTGGATGTGTTGACACCTGCAGTTCCCCCAAATTCAGGGAGCTTGACTTCGTCTTTTTTGATGATGGCAAACTGCTCACATGTCCAGAAATTCAAGCATGCAGCAGTAACTGGGGATGTATGTATTCTGGCTTTGTTGGGAAGAAACCATGACATTAATAAATCCTTTTTCTAACAGAGCTAATTAAAATCTCAGTTTCTTTTGCCACTGTAGTGTTCTGAATAAGGCTAGTGTAAAAGACCTTTTACTCCTGTGCCCAAGCAAGCACTGCATAGTTTCCCAGAAAACGGCAGAAAGTCCCGAACTACAGAAATCCACAGCACAGATACTGCAGTGACCTTTCTAATTCCAGCGGATACCAAGAACTCGATTCTCCCAATTCCAATTTTACCTAGCTTTGCCCTCTGGAAGTACTGCATTAGAAGCTCGCAGCATTTTTTTTTCAGAGCAACGCCTACCCAACATACGTATGTTTGGTATAACAAAGCCCGTTTGGTGTGAGGAACTCGTTTGGTGCAGTGAAACCCCCGGTTACTCTCCCTGACGCTGTTTCTGTCTCTCCCCCGCGCTGCTCCCTCGCCACAAGATGGCGGCGGGGGCGGTGCTGGCGGCGGGGGCGCTGCGGGGCGGGGCCGGGCCGGGCCGGGCCGGGCCGCGGCGCGGGGCGGCCGGAGGCGAGCGAGCGGGGCCGGAGCCGAGCGGGCGGTGTCGGCGCCACGCGGGGCCGCTCGATCGGTGCCTGGCGGGATGTTCCGCAAGGCGCGGAGGGTGAACGTGCGGAAGCGGAACGACTCGGAGGAGGAGGACGAGGAGCGCGACGAGGAGGCGCCTCAGGAACCGGCGGCGGCCGGGGCGGGGGGAGAAGGGCCCAGCGAGGCCTCCATGTCGCTGGCGGCGGGCGCCGGGCTCCTGCCGCTGCCCGCGGGCTGCGTGCCCCTTGCCCTGCCCGGCAGCCCCGCGGCCTTCGCCTGCGCTGCGAGCTACGGCGCGGCGCTCGGCCTGGGTCTGGGCTTGATGGGAGGCGACCGGGCAGGCCTGGGAGCTCTGCCGGCGTCCGCCCTCCTGCCCCCCACTCCGCCGCCACCGCAGCCCCAGCAGGGCAACGGGCTGCCGGCGGCCGGGCGCCCCAAGGAGAAGAAACGGCCGCGGGAGAACAAAGAGGTGCCGCGGGCCAGCCTGCTCAGTTTCCAGGACGAGGAAGAGGGTGAGACGAGAGGTTGCCCGGCTTTTGGCTCGCCGCTTGCGGCGTGGAAGGGGCCCGGAGCTGCTACTGGGCCTGCCCCCGCCGTCCGCGCACCCTCGGCCCTCGCAGGAGCCGGGGCCTGTATTTATTTGTGAAGGCGGTCGTGTTGGTGGGGTCGCCTAAGACGGGGAGGGCCCTGGCTGCACGGGCAGGGAGCGCCCAATCGGCCCCGCTGGTCTTCCCCGGCCCGGTCCGGCTTCTGCGGGGCCAGCGCGCTCCCAGCACCGCGGAGCAGCGCGTTTAATTCTGGTGTAGGGTTTTCAGTTGCCTCCCCTTCTGTATTGCTGGGGCCTGACCGTTCCACCCGTGATGCGTTCGCTGCACCTGGTGGCCCGCAGGTAAAGGCTTGTGCGGCGGGAGTTGCTGGGCCCACCTGTGCAACCTGTCGCTTTGCCCCGGGACCGGTGGGGTTGGCTGAGGAGCATCTGCCCTATGGCTTTATGTAGAGTTTGTTTTAATCTGCTGTGGCTGGTGTTCATGGGGTCACGTCGGACTGCCTTTTTGCCCTAGCACTTCGTAGACATTTTGAGGTGCCATGGAAGGAATTCTCGTGTAATCACCGGAACTTGGTTTCTAAGGCTCGTGATTAGAAATCTTGACAGAAATACTGAAAACATGAAATTATGCTGTAGACTTTGAAAAACCCTGAGAGTTGTTTGATAATGGCATTTCTAAAGTTCTAGGTACAAAATTAAGATATTTAATAGGTAAGTATACTTCTTGGTGGGTCTAATGTAATGTTTTCCGATTTCTCTTTTAAAGAAACTGAAGAAGTTTTTAAAGTGAAGAAATCAAGTTACAGCAAAAAGATTGTGAAACAACTGAAGAAAGAATACAAAGAAGATCTTGAAAAATCAAAAGTTAGAACAGAGGTCAATTCTCCAACAAATGGTAACTGCAAAACTAATAGTAACTTTTGTAGTGGAAAAGATAGAGTATTGTGATTTCTTTTTTTGTTTTCAAGAGGAATTGTTAGTCTAGAGGATTTCATGTTTAGAGCTGAAGTAAAGCACACATTAAATATGTTACTTGAGCCTTACAAATGCTGTTCTGAAGGTGGTAGAGAGTTCTTTGAATCTCTCCTATGTAGAAATTAATATAGAACCATGAAACTTCTCAGTTCTGTGTACGATCGTCAGTAGACATCAGTTTTCTGATGTGGTCATAACCATCAGCTGTGGTTATGACAAATGAGTTTCTTACTGAGTTAGGAAGGAGTTATATTAGTTGAAAAATATACCTGGTGCTTGTCTGACAGGATGTGTCCTTGTAACGCATCTTCTTCAAAAAAGAAGACTTCTGGGGTGAGCAGAGTGGTGTTCTTTGTCATTAAGTAAGCTGCCTGTTTCAGGACTTGGACCTTAGACTTGATGATTAAGGTGACAGACTAAAAGTGTTGGAGCAGAAGGATCTTTTAACAATGTGTAGTCCTTTTTATGTGTATGCTCTTTTTATATTTAATTTAATTATTTTTAAAAAATTATTAAAGTTTTTTTAAAGGTTTTACCTGTGTTTAGAAAACCCACAAAATCTTTCTTACTAGAATCTGTAAGTTGCCTGTGCATTGGAGTGGGGCACCAGAAATGGTCCTTTGTGTGTGTAGTGTTCAGGGTCATCTGTGAAAACCTGGGTCTTAATTCTTGCTTCTGTCACAAAGATCCTTAAAAAATTGCATTTTGCACATGGTTATGTGTGCTTATTTTTTCTTTGTTTTGCTGTCCCTAATTGATGTGGTTATGGTGTAAAGACATTGTGGCTGCTACTGAGTCAGTAGTCTGTATTCTCTAGACAAGTGCTTGGAGTCTAAAACCTCAGATATGTGCAGCTTGGATTGGATAGCTGAGTTTAACTTGCACTGTTTTACATAGTACTTGTACTTGCTGCCTGCATCTATCTGTATGTTACCCACCTAATGTAAGGGGTTATTGCACCTAGCACAAGATGAAAATGAAAGGTTCTTTTGAGATGAGTTTGTTCTTGTGGAAAGATTTGGTGTAATGCAAGCAGTGCTTTCTCATTACATAGGCAAGACACAAGGTTGCCTATATGATCTTGAGTTCCTTTACTTTCTTAACACTTGACAGTATGGAGAATGTTTAGTGGCTGTTGGTGTGCCTGCCTTGGCAGATTTTATTTTGAGAGAATGTCAGTGAGTTAACCACAGTTAAGAAAGCACATTTTACTAGATTGCAAGCAATAAAAATTATCGTTCAAAATTTTTATTTGATTTTTCCTTTTGGTTTTTATATCTTAAAAAAAAGTACTTCCAAGTGATCTTTTAAAAGGAGTAAAACATGGGCTTTGTTGTTTTATCAGTTGAAGCACCACTAGAAAAGACAGGACAGAATAAGGATGTAGGCCAAGAAGATGGGACTGCAAACAGTGAGCATGGTGAAGAAGAAATGGAAGTTGAAAGTGAGAAGGAAGATGAAAAACCGAAAGCTGGTGGGGCGTTTTCAAATGCTCTGTCCTCACTGAATGTTCTCCGCCCAGGTTGGTCTTTGTAATTTGTCTGATAAATTAGCAGATGCTTTAGCCAATGTTTACAGCATTGGATTAGGAAATAGTTTCCAACAGTATATCTAGCATCTGAGAATTCGAGAAAGCACTGCTTTATAAAGAGGTTCAGTTTCATGAGCCTCACAAGAGAAAACGTTTTGCTACAGAACGCTTCATCTTGATGTCAAAAGCAGGAATTTGTCTCCCAAATAGATGACAAGCTGTAAGAAAATCTAGATTTGGAATAGATGACTTCACATGAGATTAGTTAAAATCTGTTCTTTAATTCAGATGTTTCAGTTATGGGTCTGCAAGGGATCTGAAATATTTCCCTAACCTGTTTTGTATAATGAGGTTCTAGTTAGGCCCTGAGGCCAAAGAAATCAGTCTGAGAAAGTATTTTTGAAACTAGTTTGCTAATTGTGGTAGTCTGCTCCCCAAATATAAGGTGGATGTCCTGGGAACTGTTCTTTATGTGATTTATGTAAGTTGCATTGCTTTTGTGCTGTAGATTTTAGAGTTTTCTGTTAGGTCCACTTTTCTTGTTTCTCTTAGGTTGTACAGTTTTCTCATATTAACTTTGTCTGGTTTGGTGTCCTCTTAGTCTCTGAGCTGTCATCATCTGTTGAAATGGTTGATGCTTTTTGTTCCCCCCAAATAAGAACAGATAGGAGCCATACCAGGACAGGAAGAGACGTGTGATAAGAAATCATAATACCTGTTTCATTGCAGTGGTTGTTTAATTGTGCACACATCTGTCTCTAGGAGAAATTCCAGATGCTGCTTTTATTCATGCCGCTAGGAAAAAGCGTCAAATGGCTCGTGAACTTGGAGACTTTACCCCTGTTGAGAGTGAACCAGGTAAAGGCCGCCTTGTTCGAGAAGATGAAAATGATGCCAGTGATGATGAAGATGATGACGAGAAGAGGAGGATAGTTTTTACAGTGAAGGAAAAATCCCAAAGGCAAAAGATTGCTGAGGAAATAGGTAAAACCTTTTTAGAAGGACATCTGTAAAACATTCACACCGTTTTCACTGCGAGTTCTCCCATTAAGCATTTTTAAAGAATGTGTTTATCAAACAATCTGGAGTTCTATTCCAATGCTAAGGAAAAGTACTACCTAATGGAATCTGCTTATAAAATGTTGAGCACAAAACTATGTTCCTGTGCACACTGCTGAATCTGATAGAAACTTCCACTAAGGATCAATTCTTATTTTTCCTGTACTCTGTTTTTAGGAAGTATATAGTTATGAAAAGAAAAACATTTGATATAGAGTTCTCCTTGCTGACAGCAGGTAAAATAACCTCTTGGAAAATGAGAATTAGTAAGATACATAGGTTTTTAACATTAGAGGGTTTTACCAGCAGTTAATTGCAAATTTACTCATTGGATCTTTCAAGTGGAACCCCTATTCTAATAATTCACAGGTCGATGTCCTTAATTCCTCCTGAAGAGGAAAGGAAGATGATCTGAGTTCTCACTGAGGCGTGGTCTCAGGTTTTTTCTAAGTTATGGCCTTTACTATGAACGCATTATCTCCTCCTTTTTCTTACTTGTCTGTTTCACTTTTATGAAGGTATTGAGGGAAGCGATGATGAAGCACTGGTGGCAGGGGAGCAAGACGAAGAACTCAGTAGATGGGAACAAGAGCAGATACGAAAAGGAATCAACATACCCCAGGTGTGTATATAACTGAACTCTTTTTTGATTTGTTTCTGTGTGTGTTGGCTAAAACTGTTACAAACTTGAGTAGTTTCCAGAAGGCTTTTTTATCTGAGAAATTCACTGTGTAAATGCTGATATTCTTTAAAGAGAAGTAGTATAAATATTTAGAATGATAATGATATTGAGAATTTGTCCATTTAAGAAGGTGCTTCTGAGGGTATTTATTTCTTCCACCTTAAAGGAAAGATTGGAAGTTCTATGCTTAAATCCACTTGATAATGACATTTTGTAAATGTATTTGCTTACATTTTACACTTTCTAAAGAGATGTATAAGAAAGTAAGTTTCTCCTTTCTCTGAAGCCTAACATAGTACAATTGGATTTCCTCTACCATTAGGTTCAACCAAGTCAGCCTGCTGAAGTGAATAATCTGTACTACCAGAACACTTACCAGACACTGTCTTATGGTTCATCATATGGTATTCCATACACCTATGCTGCATATGGATCATCAGAAACCAAGTCTCAAAAATCAGATAATACAGTTCCTTTCAAAACTCCCAGTAATGAGATGACTCCTGTTACTATTGATTTGGTAAAGAAACAGCTTAAAGACAGGTAGGACAGACCATCTTTTTAGACTTAAGACCTGTCCCCTAGGTTTCTGTTCCTCAGGTGTCTTTAGTCTCGGTGAGCAAACACAGAGTTTCATCGCTGGAAAAGTACTGACTGGCACATCCACTAAAAAAAAAAAAGGCAAACAAAAAAAGCTCAAAATGAAGATGGCATTGACACTTTGTTCGAAACTCTCCTTGGATTGCTTCTCGGAAGTGAAGCTTTAAATATGAGGCCATTGATGTTGTTGAAGACAGGTCTGAGTTGCATCTTCTGGACACTGCACAGTGATGTAGTGAAGAAGTGAAAGGCCAGTGAGGTGTTCAGCTTATCAAGCTGCATTCTTTTAAACTATGAATCAGAATTTCCCCCCTCTGTAGATGAAGAATTTAATTTTTATTGTATACAGGGGTGTGGAGTTTTTTGTTTTGGTTTGGTTTTTTGGGTTTTTTTTTGTGGTTTTTTTGTGTGTGTGTTTGGTTTTTTTTTTGTTTTAAACACTGTAATCTGCTTGTCAGGTACACAAAAGGGGTCTGGAATGAACAACGCAATTGCAATGAGAAATCATTTGTAATGAGCAGCTTGCACTTTACGTGTCTTCAAAATTGGTTTGTATGCCCCTGGTAGCATTACAGTATAGTTTGACAGTGAATCAAATTAGTAGAGGAAAAAGAGTGCTTTGTATAAGCTGTAGTTCCCCTCTATCTGCAGCCTTTTCACCCAGCTTTTCTTCAGGGCCAGCCTTGCACTGTTCTAAATGCTACCAACTCCTGTAAAAACTAGTGGGAGTGGCTGTGCAATGCACTCAGCAGAATCCAGCAAATGAATGCCAACTGTTAGCCTTGCTGTTGATGGAGAGAGGGGACAAAGTGACAAATGAAAGTTGGAGAATGTCTTTGCAGTATTTCCCATGTTATGGGCTCAGTACTTGCACTGTCTGTTTAATATCTCAATGGTCTGAAATAGACTTTTGGATGTAAATTTACTATTTATCCATTGCCCTTCAGGTTGGACTCTATGAAAGAAATGCACAAGGCTAATCGGCAGCAATATGAGAAACATCAGCAAAGCCGAGAGGACTCTACCAAGGCAATTGAAAGCTTAGAAGGGTCTTCTGGGGGTATTGGTGAACAGTATAAGTTTTTGCAAGAAATGCGAGGGTATGTCCAAGACTTGCTTGAGTGTTTCAGTGAAAAGGTAAGGATGCAAAAACATTCATCTCTTTTCCAAAAAAAAAAAAAAAAAGGGGTGGTCTCAGTACATGCCAAACACCACATTTCCCTCCGTTTCTAAAAAAAAGTCCCCTGAGAATATACTCTTCTAAAAGTTTGGTTATTCAGGGATTGAAAAAATAACTTTTCATCATGCTGAGCTGGTTATCAGGAACCTCTCTTCACAGTGTAAGAAGTCACTGACTTTAGATTGTCTAAAAACTTGTAGATTTTGTGTCTTTAGGACTTTGGTAGATACTCTGGTGTTTCAGCTTTACTCAGATGCTGCTTTTTACTTGTGTTGGACATCAGGTTAGCAGAAATAAGGGCTGGATTGTGACCTTTCTAGTTTCTGGAGTGCTTTGTGTACACAGTAACAGAGACTTTTTTTTTTTTTTAATGTTCTTATAGACTTCCTCCTGCTAGGCATTACTTGGTATTACTCTAGTCTGAAGGAGTAAAGTTTTAAAAGTAATGTAGCTGTTCAAAGACACCCAAACTTAAAAATATCCTTTCATGTAATGTGATACCTTTGTATATGTCTAACTCAAAACCATATTCATTATGCTTTGAATACTTACTTTGTTGTAAATATTGTAGGAGCTCCTGAATATATATATTTTTATGTATTTATGTATAAGGCACACACAGGAGCTGTAGAATTCAGTTATCGGTATATATAGGCTGTTTCTTCATTGTCTTCTGACTTGAATACAGTAATATAGTAGCTTCTAAATATATTACCTGTCAAAATGACTGAGTAGTTTAAGCTACTGTTTGCCCAGCTCGTTAGGTGTGGGAGAGGAACAGAAGAGCATTCTGGGTGTTAATGGGTTAGACATTAATTGCCCAGTATTAGTGGAATTGGGAGAGACCAGTCTTCAGTCCTGTAAAGTGAAGAATGTCATGAACAAACCTAGGAAGCGTGAACCAGTTAATTCACCCAGCTGATGGATTAGTATAACTAATTACCTACAGTTGATTGTTTTCCTGATGAAGCCATAATCCCGAGTCTGAAAGATTTTGTATAAACCCGGAAAAGTTACTATTAAGTAATAGTGTAACAATTTCAGTTCGGTTTGTAGGAAGGTTTTTGACCTCTCTAGCTATACTAGTAAATAAATCAGTCCCAGCCATTTTACAGCAAACTAACAAGCCTCTTTGTTAAATTATCAGCAGCTGTAGTTGCTTTCTTACAATATACCCTTGCTTTCCTGGTAGTTGGTCTTCTAAGGATTCTACACCTGGATGCCTTCTTCCCCCTCCTCAACGTTCCCATAACTCATCTGCCATGCCAGTCCGTTGAACTTCTAAGACTTTTATCATCTCACGCTTCTTAGGGGCATTCACAGAGGTTTGCTGGTTTCAGGAGGAGGCTGTTGCTGTATTTGTATGTGCAGTGAGTTGTAAAAGCAGGAGGTGATGGGAGCATTTCATTTATTATGATATTATTTGGCAAGATAATGGGATTTGGAATTCAGTGCTTTCAGCATGACAAAAGTACCATCAAATTCAGAACCAGCAGTCCACAGGACCCCACAAGGTTTTCTAAAAAGGAGGTGGGGGGAAAAAAAGTAATAAAATCAGTTTTTATTTAAATGAAATGCAGTGGGACAGTAAATTGTTGCTCTGAGTGTAGAGATAAATTACCTTCAGCTTTTTGGTAGAACCTGTGGCCCTAACTGCTTCATATTTAAAGGGTTGCTATTATAATTTATAATAATGTACATAGTTATGCTTATAATTTACGTAAGCATATAAAATGTGTATTTATATGTGTAATAACAATGGTATTGTGTGCGTATATATAGATACGTGTATGAACACATATCTAAGGATACTTTGAAAAGATTCTGAATGTTAAAATCACTTTGCCCATTTGTAAGGCACAGCAGAGAGTATAATGAGGCAGCTGTTAGGCAGATTTTAGAAACAAGCACTGGAAGGGTCAAGATCCCTGTAATATCTTTTTTTTCCCCCATAAATAAGAAAACCAATGGAGTGGAAGATGCTTACATGACTTCCTTGAGAGGTAGTTACTGTCAAAATTATGCTTTCTGGGAAGGCTAATGAGTGGTAATGATGTTTTTACATTTGGAATGTAGGAATGTACAGTGGATACAGAAAGATTGAATTGTTCTGAGCGTACTTTGACAGCACAGGGAGATGAGCTGTTACTTTACCTGCAAAGCAAATTATTAAAACGCACTCTGTGGGCTGTAGGTTAAAAATATCCTTGTGATCTAAATGTTTAGGGAGCTTTCTGCTTTTCCTCTTACACTCTTTATAGTGAAAGTGAACAAAAAACCCGTTGAAAACACTGAATTTAAGGTATTGACTAAACAAAACAGGGAATGAGGCTTGTAACTTTTTAGTAGTCAATGAAATTGTCAGCGACTCATTAACCACAGCATTGATTATAGAAGAATAAGGGCTTCTGAGTCTCTTTTGTTTTAAATGGGAAATACTTTTGAGTGGATTCATATATCTGAATACATCACTGTTTTTTTTTTCTTTTAATCCTGAGACAATTACAGGAAACCTCTGGGGATACTTTGTAAAAGTTCATTAAACTTTTCAATGTTAGAATTTCCTTTACATACTTAAGAGAAGAAACTATATTTTCTATGGTAAATTGCAGTAAAACTAGTATTTTTTAATATTATTTCATATATTTTCAAAATTGTCTTAAATTCTCAGTATAGACTTCCAGTGCTGGGATATCTTTCTCTGTAGTCTTTTCTCCAAAAGAAAGGTGTACGTATTTTGACTTGGTGTAGAGTTCCTTTCATTTTAAGCCCTGGAGTCCAGTTTATCCCACAAAGAGCTAATACTTCTTTTTGTTTAATATCTCCTCTAATGTGTGTGTCAGTCTCAGCTGAAATGGCCCTGTAGCTATAATCTCAGAATCTGATACGTTACTGGAGGAGGTTCTTTAATAGCTGCTGAGTCACGTTCTAAATTACATCAGGAAACAATTTCCGATTTCATCTTTTGTTTTGAAAAAACCCCATAATCCTGGATGGTAGGCAGCAATGAAATATTTGAGCTAACAGGCTGGAAGACTGGAGTAAGCACTCATCTGGAGGTAAGGAGGATATGGCTTAAGCGTTCATGCCAAAAGGACTCGCCTTTCCAAATTAAGAGATTGTGAAAAGCTCTGTTTTGCATTTGAATATTTATAATGATCTAATTTTAACTTATCCCAGGAAATGAATTTTTGCAAACGTGAGCAGTGAACCTGCTATTTAATGTCAGGACTGTTCTAACATAATCTATTTTTGTTAGAGTTGCTACTAAAATCTAGTCCACTAAAAGAAAAAAAAGTCGGAGCTGACTTACCTGTGTATTATTCAAGGTTATACTTAAAGCATAATGTGCACAAATTGTACTGTTTTGGTTTTAGTAATTGTCTAGAGGAACATTTGACTGATTTGAATTGCCCGTTGGCATAACATGGTTATGCAGGGCTTGATTCCATTTCAGTAATAAGAGTTAGAGCAAAACAATAGCTGCTGACTTCAGGAGAGTGGATTGATGGGTGCTTTTTTCACTGTGTACAGTTGAGTTATTTTCTCATTTAACTATAGAATACTTCTACATTCTTCTTTAAAGATAGGAAACAGTAAGGTCTGAGAATTGTAAACCTTTATACAAAAGGTAACATGCTTGGTAGAGAAAGCAAGAGTACTGGAAAGACTATTTCACACTCCTAAATGGTTGTCTTGCTGTGTAGGCTCATTCAGTCCACAGAAGTTGCTTTCAGAATGCTCTTGCTCTGATTGAAAGCTGCCAACATTAAATGCATGCATTTTCCACACCTCACCAATGCAGATGATGCAAACGAGTAAAAGGCGAGAGTTTGTGCTGCTAGGAGCACAGCCACAGCATTATGCTTCGGAATAGGATGGGACCCCAGAAGCTGAGCAGCTAAAGAGCTTGTGTTACGTAGTGTGTTGTATTTTTACAGGTGCCTCTGATTAACGACCTTGAGTCCGCAATGCACCAGCTGTACAAACAGCGAGCTTCCCGCCTTGTCCAAAGACGACAAGATGATATTAAAGATGAATCTTCGGAGTTTTCAAGCCATTCAAGTCAGTCCATCTTGAAGGTTTTTATTATTCGTTAAACAACCTTGTTTATTTAGTATGACTAAATTGAAATGTAAACGTTTAACGTATGAGTGTCTTCAAAGTTTATCCTTATTCTAGAGATAGGTAGCAGCACGTTTAGATGAAAGTTCTCTAATCTGTTTTGTTTTAAACTCCAAACCGCTCTAACTCTGCTTCATCTCTCCTTTCTGTTTCTCTTAACTATACTTTCTCCTTCCTAGCACTGAAAATGTATGCATGGTGGCAGTGGAAATAGTGGTAGCATGTGTTTCCCCGTTTTCCTCTTATGTCAGGACTTTTCAAAAATTTATTTTACCTTCCTGAATCTATACATGGCATTTAACATCTATAGTTCATTCTGTACAGAACCATGAAACACTGGGCTAGACTTCTATGTAATGCTCAGGTTTGTGACCAGCATAAGTATTTAATTTCAGACACTTAACTGGTAAAGCTAAAGAACTGGAAGACTAATCAGACTAATACAAAGTGACCCTATATGAAATACAGCTTAAGATTTAGCCAGTTCAAACTCCTGTGAATTGGTGGATGGGAAGTTCTCACTGAGGAGGTTTCTTGTGGTAATTACTATTCAGTATGTAAAACTTTTCAAAAATGTATGTGTTAACTTGGATGATATGTTTCCTGGAGGTTTTATTTAATATATTAAAAAAACCTGACAGGTAAAATACCTGAGGAAGTGGAGTCCTCCTTATGCTTCGGAGAGCTTCCCATTTTTAGAAATGGCTTTCTTGTCTGTCCTATTGCTGATGTAAAATCCTATAATAGAAGCCATTTCTTACTCTGTCACAGTGTGTCCAGAGATGAAATCTTTTAATATCATTAGCTAGAATTTACTGAGGATGATAAAGTGTTAGGGTGTCAGAGTTGCTATTCCTTTACAGAGTGGCTAGCATACTTATTCTTTTTGGGACTGTATTTGGAGTCCCAGGCATCACATGTAGGCCTTGCAGTTTTACCATGAAAATGCTGTTATGAGAATGGGAGAAGTAGAAGCCTTGTGAACTAGAAATTTATTTCCTAAAAGAAGCTTGGAATAGGTTCTTTTAGACTGAAATTTAATGGGGGTATGGGAATAGTTGACATGGCTGAGGTTGGGTTTTACAGAGAGCTCTTGCATAGTATCTAGAAGTTTTGAGAGGGCTCTTAGTAGTTCTGGTATTGAATTGGGATACTGACATAGATCATCATTAATACTTGTAATGATGAATTTGTAAATAGATTTAGTTAGAACATGTAAATTTACTCCTGAAGGCTGTTTGTTAAATGTTAATATTTCAGTGGGTGGACTTGAGCACTGGTTAGCATTCAGTCCACTGTTTAAAATTTTCCTGGGAAGAAGGAACTGGAAACACTCTTGCCTGCTAGCTGCTGATTTAGCTGTGCTTTCTGTAATCAGGAACATCTATAAAGATAATCACAGCTTGAAGAGGAAGGAAGATTATATGTCTTCTTGTAGATTTTGATGTGTTTTAAACTTCAGGCAGTCTTAAGCATATGAACTTCGGAATACAATGACTAGAACTCTGAAATGTCATATACTCTTGCTCCAGTCACTATTCTCTGACTTTTGTTTTGTTAATTTTCTTTTCAAAAGATACATGGTGAATGTGTTTATGTAAGGAGCACGTTTTGTCTTGGGACATTCAATTTAAGCTATTTCTCTTGTAACCGTTGACTTTTATGTAGTTGGGCACTGTTGTGAGATGGACAAGAGTGAAGTATGGTGAAAACTATTTGACATTTAAGGGGAAATTTTTCCAAACTCTGCTGCTTTCTATTTTAACCTCTATGCTCGGTGAACTCAGGCTTCTGTTCTTTTGGTGTTTGTATTTTTTTTTTTTTTTTTTTAAGCTTCAACTTTCTACTTCAAGTTACACTTAGTTTAAAAGGAGGTAAAAGGCTCTTATGAAACTGCCTACAGCACATTTTTAGAATCATAAATAAGCATTGTAATTTTCATCGATGTAATTTTACAGATAAAGCACTGATGGCACCAAATCTTGATTCTTTTGGGCGAGACAGAGTGATCTATCAAGAACAAGTCAAGCGTCGAACTGCAGAAAGAGAGGCTAGAAGGTAGAGGATGAGATTTCTTGTCCACTGAGGAGTCTTTGCCTGCTACATGATGCAACTATGCTGTGTGACATACTAACACAAGTGGCAATGTTTGCTTCTTCCCTGCAAAGGGGAGAAAACACTTCACCTGGTATGCTGGGCAGGGATATTCATATAAATCCCAGTTTACCATGCGAGTGTACAAAACAAGGCATCATTGCATGATACTGATTTAAAATCACTCAAAGGAAGCATAATAAATCCATTCTACATCTATATGGTCTCTGCTGGTTTATTTTCCTTGTGTTACTTGAGGCAGCAATATAGTGGAATGTCTGAGATGGTGGCATAGTGAAAGTTCTTTTCAGCCTGACTCTCCTTGAATTAAAAGTTAGGACAAGCTTAGGTGGGTGTGTTCATTGTATAGATGGGAAGAAAAAAAGTGGTAACTGGTTTGTGCTTTCCAGAGCTCGCCGTAGACAAGCAAGAGAGCAAACTGGGAAGATGGCAGATCACCTTGAAGGCCTTTCCAGCGATGATGAGGAAACTTCAACAGATATCACAAACTTCAACTTGGAGCGAGGTTAGAAAAGCTACTGAAGCTTTATCAAAGAGTGGTGATAAAGCTTCAGTAACACCTTCCTTGGGTTGGAAGGGACCTTAAATCTCATCTGGTTTCAACCTCCTGCCATGGGCAGGGTCACCTTCCGCTATCCCAAGTTGCTCAGAGTTCTGTCCAGCTGGCTTTGAACACTTCCAGGAATGGGGCAGCCACAACTTCTCTGAACAACCTGCATCAGGGCTTCACCACGCTCACAGGGAAGAATTATTTCCCAATATCCCATCTAACCCTGCCCTCTGGCAATGGGAAGCCATTCCCCCTTGTCCTGTCACTACATGCTCTTATAAATAGTCTCTCTCCATCTTTCTTGTAGACTCCCTTCAGGTTCTGTAAGGCCACAGTGAAGTCACCCTTAAGCCTTCTCTTCTCCAGACTGAACAATCCCAATTCTCTCAGCCTTATGTAAAAAAATCACCAAATCTTTGGCAGGAAAAAAAGAAAAAAAAAAAGAAACAGATTGAAATGCAACACATTCTGTATATGTCATCGTATTTTGGAGAAAGTTTAGGAAACTTTAAAGAAAGTTTGTTCCTGAAACATAAGTGAGCGCAGAACAGTTTCTTTCACTGACCTGTTGTGAAGCTTGCAGCTGACTCAATACCCCACCCTTAGTGCAATTCTTTTTATTTAGTGTAGACGTTCTTTTGCTAGCAAGCAGTAAGGTCTTGGACCTTCAGTAAGTCTTCCTTCCAATTTGTAATGTGGTTTATCATTTTTGAAATACCTGTGTTACCTGTGAAATCTTGAAAACCTCAGTGCTTTGGAAAGCTTTTTTTGGTTGCTGGAAAGTATTTTGTGGAGTTTTGCATAAGCTTCTAGAAGTGCAATGACAAATATTTTGTAGAGTCTTGTTACAGCCTAGCAAAGTTTGCAGATGATAGAAAACAGTGTTGCATACAAACATTGCAGAAGAATGTCGTGGTACAATTAACCATTCTTTCTGATTAAAGAGAATTTAATCAGAAGAAAGGTGGAGGAGGAGAGCAACACAGATCAGGTGAATAGATTTGCTTGTGGTGCATTTGAGGAGGGATTGAACAGTTTTGGTGACTTCAAGTAAGAGAACAATGATCGACTTTTCACAGTATGAGAGCTGGGGACCATGAAATTAAATGATAGGATAGGCTTAAAGTAAAGAGGTCACTTGCCACAGAGAAGGTAATAAATGTCAAAGTCATTGCTGTAGGTACTTGTAGAGACCCAGAGTATGAACAGATTAGAAAGGCAATTAGATGACTTGTCTAACTGGTAGGTCATTTGGAATTGCAAACAGTTTCCACCTCTTTAGTTGCTACCTGATTTACTGAAATGGGCAGGGAGAGCTCTTCAATAAACAGAGCTACTGTTTATGGTTGTTGTGCTACAATTAACTTTGCTAAATTAAATTATCTACGTTAAAACTTCAGTTTGACTGAATTCCTCATTGTACTTTGGAACTTCATGTGTGCAAAAGGAGTTTCTTCAGTTTCTTAGTAGGTATAAAGCCTTTTTTTAATAATCACAGCTGTCACGTTAGTCCAGAAACAGCAGTGAGCAACATGGAACAGAGGGGTGCACTTTAGACCTGCCAGCTTCATATCCAGTGTCTTTTCTTGATCCCACTGTGAAAAGTTTGGTTACATGACATAATCTCCTGTTCTTTCAGCCCTGTCTCTACCTGCTGCGTGTACTAGTTGTGTTCATTGTGTGCAGATTGCTACTGTAACTGAATATTTACAACTGTAAATGTGGCAAATACGACTGATTAAAATGAAACTAACCCTGGGAAGCAGAAAAGATGAAAGGAAAATAATATCTATAGAAAAAGGTTTGGACTGTATAGAATACTGGTACTGTGAATAAAAGAAAAACCATAAAGAAGGTGCTAAGGGATTGTAATCATTGCCCAGTGCTAACAGACGTTCTGGGCAGGAGTTTAGCATGGTGCCTGCCAGGACTTGTTCTGTCTGAACTGCCAATTCAGTTAGCTTATCTGAGATGCCCTCCTATATTTGCACTTGGCTCATCAAAGATGTAGAATAATTTGCCTTGGAAGGGACCTGGAGATGAGCTGTTTGAAACTCCCATGCACAACAAGGCCAGTTTTGAAGCTAGATCCACTCTGAATATAGCCTGTAAGGGTAAATATCCTTTTTGCCAGAAGGATTCACTTTGAGGAGACAGGTGTTGCCTGGGAAGTGCCTTTCTCAAGAGTGGTTAGGTGGGGTTTTTTTCCCTTCTGCATTCCAGAGAGGGCTGCAGGCTCTCTCTCTGGTATGAGGAGGGATAAACAGGTGTTATAGGCAGTGCTGGCAGTGAGAGCCGGTGGCAGGGGGAGAACAGAAAAAAAGATAAGTCTTGAAGAAGGACAGGAGGTGTGTCTTTCTCAGGCCCAGTGCTTTGCAGCACTGGTGCAGTTTTCCCTTGAAGATCTAGTATTCTCAACTTCAGAAAAGATTTCCTTGAACTCCTTCTATGTGGCATTTCAGGGGGTACTTGCACGTTACCTTACACTGCACAGCCCAATACGTCACCAATCCTGCATCTGGTAGCTGAAAATCATTTTATGGACTGTTTAAAGTGTGACAGGCTATTGCAGAGTGCTCATGTGCTCATGTTTTTATTGCTTTGTATATTTTAGGCAGAAGGAACAGAATTTTTAAAGGTGGTGGTTCTTCTGGTTTTGTTTATAGGAGTTACCTTATGTCAGTGAGCATCAAAGACTGTCTTGAAAGAGATACTGTAGGGAATGGGTAATTAACTTATTGCTCCTTTTCTCACCTGCCAGATCGTATATTGAAAGAGTCCAGCAAAGTTTTCGAAGATGTTTTGGAAAGCTTTTACTCAATTGATTGTATTAAGTCACAGTTCGAAGCTTGGCGCTCCAAGTACTTCGCCTCTTATAAAGATGCTTATATTGGCCTCTGTTTACCAAAGCTGTTTAACCCTTTAATCAGACTTCAGCTGCTTATCTGGACTCCTTTGGAGGTAAGGTCATCTGCAAGTAGCTTCTGCATAAGCTTCTACAGAGCGATTCTTTCACACTCGTGCAGAGCACAAGTAAATTGCACCCCTGATGTGTGCTTCTCCTGAAGGGGTGAAGTTAAAAACAGGCACCTCTCTTGGGATGAAGCTTTTCTGGAGTTTCTGGGCTGTTGTGCTCTAGTTTCCCAGCAGGCCAGAGTTCAATTCAGCACGTACTAGTACCTTCTCAGTGGGTGGTGTCGACCAAAAAGTCAAAACAATGTAAATAAAGGTATCCCAGCTCATGGCAGTGAGTTGGAACTAGGTGATCTGTAAGGTCCCTTCCACCCTGAACCATTCTGTGATTCTGTGAAAGTACACTTAGGCTCTAAAATACTTCAGAGAAAATTTTGACTCTAGATATGCTATGTCTTCAGAAGCGTAAGTAAAAAGCCTGTTCTTACGTTGATTTACAACCTATGTCTCTAGATTATATACCTTTCTTTCTCTCACCTACACCTTCATACCATGTAGAACTCTGGCTGGCAATTTCCAGGTCTTCCTCGTAGTCCTTGCCCAGTTATTAGGTAGGGACCATGGGAAAAGCAGGACAGCACTGTTGCAGCCCAGTATCTCTGGCGTATGTTTGTTGTGCAGCCTGCATAAGTGTGCTTACATGAGATGACAGCAGGACAAACAGTTCTGGTGCCTTTGGACTCCCACTCTCTTCTTCCTCCTTTTTTCACAAGTAGGTTTTTTCCTTAACTACTAGAATTTTTTTAGGGGAGAATTTTCTGTCGCCTCTGCTCATTGCAGAGGGAGGGAGGCATAAGTCCTCTTCAGAGGGAATTCAGAGTACTAATTTTATTAATTTGATGGTTTACTTCATTAATCAAACAAGGGGAAATTAGGAAAGATATCCTCATTAAATTTAAAACTGTTTTAGCACATTGTCCCTTCCCCCATGCTATTTCTCTGTGCGTTTCCAGTCTGACAAAACAAAGCTCACCATAGTTGGAGACATGGTACAGTTCTCAAGTCTAACTGCGTTCACTACTCTCTGTTACTGCTCCTGGTAAGCATTTTGTTAAGGTAGAAAAATTTCCAAGTGCTCATAAAGAAGAGAGGTTTTAAATCCAGAAATCATAATTTTATAATGCAGCACAATTGAGCTGGACTTCCCATTTGTACCCTGATCTGTGGGCTTTTATTTGGCTGCATCTATAAAGCAGAAGATGAAATCAGCTACTAAAAAAAATCATTGTTCTACCATTTTCAGTTTTCATTACATCTGATGACTGTGTGGGGGTAGAGGGAATTGGTTAATTTGGTAGAGTGTTTTAAAGTTGTTTTGTTCTGTTTTGTGAGTAGTATCATACTTGAATATGTAATACTTTTTCTGTGTGTTGACTTCAAATCTCTTTTTAGGCATCTAACCCCAATTCTTTTTTAATTAGGGCAAGTGTCGAGATTTTGAAACGATGTTGTGGTTTGAATCATTGCTGTTTTATGGCTGTGAAGAGCAGGAGCAAGTGAAAGATGATGCTGATATTTCACTGTTGCCTACCATTGTAGAGAGAGTTGTTCTTCCTAAATTAACAGGTACAGGCTTGGAAAATGGGAGGCAAAGGGTTGTGGAATCTGATGCTTCTTTGTATCTTCATATTTTACTGTTTTGTAAATAATTGCATTAATGTCTCAATACCTGTATTTGAGTATTTCCAAAGTGGAGTTATTCTTTAATCTCTTACAGTGATTTCAGAAAATATCTGGGATCCTTTTTCTACCACACAGACATCTAGAATGGTAGCAATTGTACAGAAACTAGTAGATGGATATCCCTCAGTGGTGAATGCAGAAAACAAAAATACACAAGTAAGTTGGGTTTTTTTCATAAATATTTTACCTAAGTTAAGGAATTTTAACTTATTTTTAATACACTTAGTGTTGGAAAACACAGCAAGAAAGAGAATTTTTCAGCCACTCGATGCTCTGCAGCTTGGTTGTGGACAGTCAAGTATGGTGATGAATTAAGAGACTTTAAGACTCTATGTGTGCTGAAATATGTATGCCTTTACTGTTTGTTCTTTGTTGCTTTAAAAATCAGTTCCTGGTATTTAACTACTATACAATGCCTTGGACATTTAAAAAAAAAAATTTATCTGTTTCAGGTGCTTTTAAAGGCATTATTGCTAAGGATGAGGAGAACACTGGATGATGATGTATTCATGCCCTTATATCCGAAAAAGTAAGTTTACTTTCAACTGTGGTGGTAGATCTTTCTTAGCAAGTCTCTGCCTTCTGTCCATAGTTAACAGGGGTTTTTCCCAGTGTGGTTGAGTGCCTGGATACAGGACATTTTTGTTATCCTGCTGGTAGCATTTAGCAAAGACAAGAAGGATGGAAGGGAATAGTTATGGATATGATGTGTGTGCTGGAGGCAGGAACCCAGAAATTCCAGGCAGAGGTGTAGTCTTGGTTGCTCATTAAAGAAATCTCTTACTTTCCAGCATCTTAGAAAACAAGAACTCTGGTCCATATTTGTTTTTCCAACGTCAGTTTTGGTCCTCTGTCAAGGTAAGTCAGTAAATACGTCTGGTAAATGTTTGGTCTAAGACAGTGTAGCAATAAAATACTCCTGAAATTTGTGGAAAAGGGTAGATGGAAACTGCTTTAACTTTATTTGCAAGAACTGTAATTGAGGATTCTTAGCCTTTGGTAATGCACTGTGCCTCTGCACAGCGTGTCCGGTATTTAGTGGTGGTGTTTCCCAGGGCTCAGCTTTGGGCCCAGTCCTGTTTAATATCTTCACTGATGATCTGAATGACGGGATCCAGTGGACCCTCAGTAAATTTGCAGATGACACCAAGTTGGGTGGGAGTGTCGATCTGCTGGAGGGCAGGAAGGCTCTGCAGAGGGATCTGAATAGGCTGGATCCATGGGCTGAGACCAACAGTATGAGGTGGAACAAGGCCAAGTGCTGTGTCCTTGCATCACAGCATGTCCCCCTGCAGCACTTCAGGCTCAGGGACAGAGTGGCTGGAAAGTGACCCAGCAGAAAAGGACCTGAGAGTGCTGGTGACAGCAGGTGAGCGTGAGCCATCACCGTGCCCAGGTGGGCAAGGAGGCCAGTGGCATCCTGGCCTGTATCAGGAATAGTGTGGCCAACAGGACTGGGGAAGGGATTGTCCCTTGTACTTGGCACTGGTGAGGCCACACCTGGAGTGCTGTGTCCAGTTCTGGGCTCCTCAGCTCAGGAAGGACGTTGAGGTGCTGGAACATGTTCAGAGAAGAGCAGCTGAAGGAGTTGGGTTTTAGTGTGGAGAAGAGGAAGCTCAGGAGACTCCTCATTCTCTACAGTTCCCTGACAGGAGGCTGTAGCCAGGTGAGGGTGGCCTCTTCCCCCAGGCAATGAGCAACAGGATGAGAGGATGTGGCCTCAAGCTGTGCCAGGAGAGGCTCAGGTTGGACATCCGGAAGAATTTATTCACAGAAAGGGTGGTTAAACATTGGAGTGGACTGCCCAGTGAGGTGGTGGAGTCACCATCCCTGGAGGTATTTAAGAAGACTGGATGTGGCACTCAGTGCCATGGTCTGGTTGGCAGTTGGACTTGATGATCTCAGCAGTCTTTTCCAACCTAATTGATTCTCTGATTCAAAGATTGTCAAGGGAAAGCACCGTTGTTTCAACTTGCATGTCACTGAGCGTACTCAGCCCAGGATTTTTATGTCCTTGGGCTTACCAGAATAAAATACATTGCTTTGGGGGAATAGGAGAGCTCAAAGCTGTGACTGTCATAGTTTCTTTCCAATAAAAGGCTGTAAAGAAAATCAGCTCCTAGCTAAACAGAAAAAGAGAGACTCGTGTTGGTTGAACACCTGCTCGCCATGATCACACACAGAGAACTCTGGAATTTTCTGTTTAAATTGCAGCAGTGAGGGAGACTATACTCTGAATAGGTTTGCAAAATATTTTAAAATACTAAATATTTTAAAAGTGTCTGGTTTCAGTACATCTTGAAATACTTATTTTCCCTGTGTTGTGTGTTCAGTTACTAGGAAATTTTCTCCAGTGGTATGGGATCCTTTCAAATAAAACTCTTCAGGAGCTATCCATAGATGGGCTGCTAAATAGATATATTCTTATGGCTTTTCAAAACTCGGAGTATGGAGAGGATAGCATTAAGAAAGCTCAAAGTGTAAGTAAAATCAAACTACTTAAAATCACAGTTTGCAATTGAATGGAAAATGTAGCTAAAACTTGAGGTTGCCTATGAAATTTTGACTTTGATATCTCAAAAGTTGTAGTGTCAGTGAAAAATAGATTTCATATTTTTTTAATACACAAACTAAAGAATCTTCTTTGGCTCATATCTGTAGATGTCTTAAGTACACTGTGGGTTTCAGATTTTTACTGCTTGGATTTTGGATACTTTTTTTTGGTAGTTTTCTCATTTGTTCACTCAGTTGCACTCACTGCAGTCTTACCTGGAAGATGTCACAGATCATGTTACATAACTTTTAAAATTTTTCTTATGCTGTGTTTAACTTCCTTTTTCCTGTTCTGCCTAGGTAATTGCTTGCTTTCCTAAACAGTGGTTCAGTAATCTAAAAGGAGACAAGACTATTTCTCAGCTAGAAAACTTCTGTAGATACCTTGTTCACCTGGCTGATACGATTTACAGAAACAGCATTGGTTGCTCTGATGTAGAGAAGAGAAATGCAAGGTAACACTTTGAGTTAAAGCAGTGGCAGTTCTTGTGATCTGTTTTATTTTTCCTGTGCATGCAAACACAAGTAACTGTCTCCGTCCTGCCACGTGTCTTTGGAAACTTCTTTGAATTCAGACTTGAAATATGTTACAGTATGGTAGATGGGGATATTTTTAAGGTGTGGAAACCCAGCAAGTACTGGGAATATTGAAACACTGGTAATATATATTACACTACTGCTTAGTGTCAGAGATTCTTAAGGGGGTTTATAAAAAGGAGGGAGAGGGACTTTTTATGTGGGCAGATAGTGTCAGGCCAAGGGGCAATGGTTTTAAACTGCAAGAGGAGATATTTAGGTTAGATATTATGAAGACATTCTTCCTTATGAGGGTGGGGAGGCCCTGGCACAGGTTGCTTGGAGAAACTGTGGCTGCCCCATCCCTGGAAGTGTTCAGGTTGGATGAGGCTTGAAGTAACCTGATCTAACAGGAGGTGTCCCTGCCTATGACAGGGGAGGTTGGAATGAGATAATCCCTAAGGTCCTTTCCAACCTAAACCATTCTATGATTCTGCCAAATTTTGTAGCTACTGCGTTTGGGCTGTTTCACTTTGTGAGCCTGTTGCTGATTCCTGCATTATGGCTTCTAAATTCCAAACTGTCTTTTGTACACAGTACAAAAGTTCTGACTTAATTTACACAACCAGCTAGATGAAACTGCTTTTCCCTAGATCAAGAGTCATTCTGCTTGAATCCAATAACCAGTTTAATGAAAAGTTCGGCAGGTTAGACACGTTACTGCTGAAATGGTGTGGGAACAGCAGCAGCACAGGAATAAACAATCTTCCAGTTTTGTTATAGTCCTGTGTATCCGTGCAGTAGTCTGGGTTTCATGTTTAAATTTTTGAACTCTCTCTCGATAGTCTGTTTCTAGATTTGAAAGATCTTGTTTTAACAGGTGAAAAGATAATTTAGTAAAAGTCTGTACTGGAAGAGAAACATCCACTTAGCCTTATTTGCATAGTGAGTTCTAATTTAATTTCTGTCTTCTGTCCTGCTTTTTCCCAGCGTTTAACAAACCTGTTGCCATTACCTAATAAAGCAAATACAATAAATCTGCAGCAGGAATATTAACTATATAGCTTCATAATGTAATCCATGTCATTGATGGTTCTGTTCCTGTATTAACTTCTCCTTTCTCCTTTTAGGGAGCACATCAAGCAGATCATAAAGCTTTTAGCAAGTATCCGAGCCCTGGATCATGCCGTTACAGTTGCAAACGATCACAACGTAAAAGAGTTAAAGATTTTAATAGAAGGAAAATAGACTTTTCCTACAACTAATTTTGAGCTTTAAAACCATTCCTGACGTGTAATTTATGTACATATGTAAAGTTTCTTAAACTGTAAAGTATTGATCTTTGTTTTAATACAAAGTGCATTCTTATATACAGCATCCTTAAAAATAAAAATCATTGACTTCATTGAAAACAAAAATGGAATCCCAAGATTGTCATCTTTCCAGAAATCAACTTTTACTTCAAGTTTCTCAAAATCTTGTTTACAAAAACACTTTGTACCCATGATCAGTAGTCATCTACTCCTGTTAATTGTTCCATGGTTAACTGGAATGTGTATAATATATTTTGTGTAATCCAATGTATGCACATACTTATACCACCATGTTGCTTTCACACTGGATATAAAGATGTTGTACTGCTGCAATAAGCTTTTCATTTGCTAAAAATTACTTATTTTGACAATAAAATGATCATAATATTGGTCAAAAGGGCAGATAAGACATTCAGATATGTGAAAATCATTTGAGCTGAAGAGTACAGACACATTCAAATGGAACCTGACCTTTAAAAGGCAGCTGTGCTGCACTCCAAGTGGAATAGCTAAAAAGTGATTTGTATGGAGAACATGGACCGCTGAAGACTGTTCTTTGAAAAGAAAATCTAAAATCACTGCTGAATTATTTTAATGCGGGAGCCCCTGGTGGTCTAGTGGTAAGGGCGCGGCGCTGTCACTGCCGAGACCCGGGTTCGATTCCCGGTCAGGGCCACTCCCGGGCAGGTGGGGCTCGTTAGCCCTTAAAGGCAACCCACCTACGTCCTGAGGACCTCGCTGCCACCGTCCAAGCTCGCTTGGCCCCGGCAGATGAACCTTAGGATTAAAGGGTGGGCTCAGTTCCGCGCACACTGTGTCTCACCTAAAAAATCCAATGCGCAGGCTGGAAGGTGTAAAGACCTTCCCCGGATCTTCGCTTGTGAAGACGGGCCATTATTTATTTTAATGCAGGCAAACAACTACAACTTGTGATCATTGTGCATGTGTAGATGGGCAGCACTTCCTAAGCTCCAAACACCTGTCATTTTATAGGAGTAATGGTTTACCCCTGAACTCTGGACCCTCCTTTCATTTGTAAGTTGCTTAAATCCACAGTTTGTGTCAGGATTTGTATTTTTTTGTTTTGGGGGTTTGTTTGTTTGTTTTTTGGTTTATTTTCTAATGTCATCCGTGGAATCCGTTTCTTCAGGTTAGTGTGCCTAAAGAGGTTGAGCAAAATGAAGATGAAAAAAACTTTGAAGTATTTATATTGTAGTAAATATACAAATGTTACACTTTCCACTAAATACCATATAAGAATAGTCTTTCAAAAAAAAAAAAAAATCGAACAGGAGTCAAATTTAAATGTAAATAAGAAAGAAAACACTTAAAAAATCTGTTGATTTATGTCAGAACACTAGTGACTTGATCTTGGGATCCATGGCATGGGGACAACTGTAATAGCCTTGGGTTAAGAGCTATTTCAAAATGTGCCCTACTTTTTTGGGGGGAGCTGTAGCAATTTGCATAATGAGTAACATTTATGCTCATGTTGTGGTTTAAATGAGTTAAAGTAAAAACAAACCATTTGTCACATGCACACTTTGGACACTGGACAGTTGTTTTTCTGAATTGTTGGGGTTGATGGAGTACACTCAGAAATACCTGCTCTTAAAAATTGTTTATTCAATAAACTCATCTGGTGAAGGAATTGTTGCGGTGCAACTTGGTAAGCTTTTTTCCTTTAGGAAGCGAGTAAAGGAAATTTTGTGGGTGCTGGTTGACTTTCAGTGCATCAGACAAAAGAGCTGCTGGTGGTGCAGATGATAGTCCGTGCGGTGGATGTAAAGGTCAGACAGAGCTCTCTGTCCTGGCCCTTCTTGTGTGGGAGCAATTCTTGGATATGTTGTGTTCTGAAGGTGGTGGTTAAGTTTTGGAGGTGGGTTCCAGAAAGAGAATGACTATTTTTCTTTGGGAAGGGCAGCACCCAGCCCCAGCGTTGGTGGTGCAGACAAGAGGTGGCGCAGGGAGGCAGTTTGATCAGGTTGGAACTGCCATAAAATAATAACGATTTTTTAAAAACAAATAAAAAGTAAAAATCAAACTAAAAATGAAATAAAAAAGAAAAAGGTTTCTTCAGATGGAATTGACCTGAGCCAGTGACTTCTGCTCCAGGTCGAGTGGCAGTCAGGTTCTTATATCTAGTCTTCTGCTATGCCACATGTTGCTTCCAGACCTGAACTTTGGGTGAAACCAGCATTCTCAGATGGGGCACCAGCCTTGCAGGTACCTGAGGGTTTGCTAAAATCAAAAACTTTGCCCAACACGAGAGCTGGGAACCGTTCACAAGCTACAGCTCCTGGAGGTAAGCGCTCCTGATTAATAGTTCTTGTCCAGACATGTTTTGGTTCACCTCACAGCTCTGTTTTGGTGTTTTTGTTTTTTTATTTTTAAAACAAAGTGATACTTGAGACATCAGTCTTAACTATTTGCAGTTTGGAGGGTTTTTTGTACCAGTGAATATATTTGATAAGCACTGAGGTTATACAATTCAATGTTATAAATTAGGTAATTCTCTTAGCCATTGGGGAGTTGTTACACAGTGTGTACTGCTGAAGGATTTTTCTGTAAACTAATTATTTTTTAATTTATTTTAAAACTCTCCTAAAAACTATACACCAGTGTGTATTTGAGTTTCCAGAGGCAGTTTTGGTCATACCTGGTAACAACCTGGTGCCTGAATTTAACAAGTAGCAAAGCCAAGTTTTGTGATCATGTAATTTGGGAATTACACATGTAAGGGATTAGCCAGCACTGCAGGAAATATTACAAAGGAGGTAGTTGATTGTAGCACAGAAATAGCAGTAAAGTTACTGACTTGCTGCTGACCTGAGACTTGGCCTCTGCTACTTGGAGAGTTAATGGAGATTTGCTTGGGTTTCTCCTCTCAGAGACCGCTCAGTTCCATGAGAGAAGTGTGGAGAATACTAGAGAGTTGCAAATATTTCTTCTGTGCTCTCTTGGGAGAATACTCAGTTTTCACCTGGGAGAGCAGAGAAACTCTGATTTTCCTCAAAGGAAAAAGAGAGACTGAGCTTGTAGAAAAGTTTTGTTGATTTTGTTTGTTTGTTAGTTTGTTTTGTGGTTTTGGGGGTTTTTGTTTGTTTGTGGGGTTTTGTGTGGGTTTTTTTGTTTTGGTTGGTTTTGTCCCTCGCTCTATCTCCAGTTGCAGCAGATATTATTAACCATTGCACAAGTGTCTCTTGCTAAATTGGAGAATGGAAGATTATTTCACTTCATTTGGTTTGCTGATCCTAAAACTACTGGAGTGGAGTTTTAGCTCTAGACCAGACAACATTTGAATTTTTGCTGGAGGACTGTGTGGTGCTGAGCTATTTGAACTAAAACATCGCTTCTTCCCTTGTTGCATTTGGACACAGGGACTGCATTCTTAGACTTTTCGGTACTTTGTCACAATGAAGCTTTTCTCCTGCTGCTTATCGTTACTATTTGAATTTACCGGTACTCATTGTATTACATTATTGAGGCTGTAGTGGAGAGAATTGGGTGAAGTATTTAATAGCAAGTTGCCAGCATTTCCTTAGTGATTTTTGCAGACCCACCTGTCAACTCCGAGGAATGTGAAGATCTTTTGAATGTCACTGGCAGGGTCTGTCTGTGCTTTGAAGCACCACGTTTGTCTTTGCACAACAGTGTTTTCCAGGCTTTCTTAATATTGTGCCACCTGTAACTTACTGCAGATATTCAAAAGAAAGTTTCCTGCTAGCTGGAAGGAAGGCAGTCTTGCAAAGTTTCCTTCTTGAATGCTCTAGGTGTGGGGGTGTGTGCTAGGACAAACAGTTTTGCTGTTGCTTTGCTGGTTGTCTCTGAACTTGGTTTGCATTCTCTTTTTAAAACAAATAAACAAACAAATGACTGGAAATCTATAGGGATAGGATTTATAGCAGTTTACCTATCTGTGATACTTGCACACTGTCTAGACCTGAGCCTTGCAAAAAAACCATAAGGTAAGTCAAAAACCCCTGTCATTTTAGCTTAGTCTGTTCCACCTGTTCTCTCCTAAGTTCTGCGGTCACCCGTGCAAAACCTGCCCCATCTGCTGCAGAGCAGTGAAGATCTCCTGTCGTCATGGTTTTGTGTGACAGGAGGAGAGCTGACCAGCTCGGGGTTCGAGACTCTGCTATAGGTAGTAAAGATAGCCAGAGTCTGCAGCTAGTCTAAGACCACAGCGACCACGCACCCCAAATGAGGAGGCAGGAGACAGCAGTGCGAACCAAATGACAGCCAAGGCTGGTCCGTTTATTAAACCAAGACGGAGGGTTTTTAAAGGGTAGGGGTTGAAGGGTCTAGAAGGTAGGAGGGTAAGGAGGAAGAGCATGCAAATCCCCACGCATTGATAGGGTAGAGAAACATACATAAACATAAGAGGGGGGAAACTGGGCAGTAATAAGTAACTGGAGCCCGCCAAACAAACGGATGGGTCGGTACCTCAGGGTACAGCGGCCAATGGTGGATTGTCGCCATGCCTTAGCAGGCAAAGTCCATGAGGGGGGAGAAGAAACCTAAAATTGAGGGTCAATCTACTAATAGATTTACTACTCAAATGTGGTGAAAAACAAAGTCCCAGGTGGTTAATCATTCTGAGGTGACTCCTTCCAGGCTACAGCCATCCACGTATCGTGCCTTCCAGCTTGCAAATGAGGTCTCGTCCTCTTCCCCAGGTTCACGTTGATCCCCAACATCTCCTCCTTTTTTGTCTTTTAAAATAAAATTTGCTGAAAAGCTTTTGGTTAGTAGTTTACATGCGCAGGCTAACATACATGGGATCATAACTAAAATTACAAAAATGACAATTAGTGCGATGATTAGGAAGCCAATTATATTGCGAAGCCATTGGGGAATGTTAGGCAAATGAAGCCAACCAAAAATGCTGGATAAGCCAGACAAATCAGGACCCTTACTCTACGAAGAAGCATATAGATCTTTAACTAATGCTTTTAATTGGTGAATGCTTTGGTAAATTGACTCCAAATTGTCTGAAAAATTCATACAGCACATTCCTTCAAAATCTTGACACCTGTGTCTGTGTGACAAGAGAAGGAAATCTGTGGCTGCTCTATTCTGCAGAGTAACAGTTTTCAGCTTCTGTGTGTCCTCTAATAGGTCCTCAATTGCCTTGGAGGTTGCATTTGCCTCTTTAGTCAGCCAACATCCAAGGTGGGTTAGGACTGATAGGGCATGGTTCGCGCCAATTGCCGGTATAAAGGTTGCAGCCCAAAAGTTCTTCGTTTGGGACCAAATTTCTATGTGGGAATTGCAATCCTCTGGAAAGGGTAGAGGTGGAGGCATGGTTTGAAAATGGTAAGTAGGAGGTGGGGGGGCGTGCCAGACAGGTGCAGGAGTAACTGATTTAGGCTGACTTGGGGCTTGAATTGGGTTTTGTCTTCTTTCATTCTGTTTTTTTATCAAGGGTCCAGAACCATGGGGAACACCTTTTCCTGTTTTAAGATTCTGAACCTGGGCTAATGCTCGTCGTGGCCTTATTAGATCTTTATTTTGAATAGCCAATTGGAAAGTAGTCGAACAGGGATTGAAATTTTGCTGGATTGAACAGAGACAGTTTGCCAATCGTACACGGGCCTCCCACTGGTAAGGGAGGAATACTTTTCCAGGTGCAATCCCTGCACAAGAGAAAAAATCCAGAGGGCAAGGGATGAACTCTGGGAAAGTATTCTGCAACTCCAGCTATGATTTGTGTGTCATCACACCAATTCTTAAATGAGGGGTTAGTGAAGGAGACACTGATATAACCAACCTTAGTATGAAACTTAATTGAATGCCATTTAAAACACAACACAGGGGGAAGCGAACCAATGAGATCAACTTCTGGAGGAGGTGTGGTATCGCTGGTTATGTTGAGATGATCCTTAAGTGCTACATAAAGGTTATTAGCTGTTGCACTCACGTACCGAGGAGCGACTTGCATTATGAAGTTGACCCATTCCACTCCTGGTAAAAGAAGAATACCCATGAGGCACGACTTCAGAGGATCCCGGGTGGTAGATGTTGAGAGGCACAGGGAGTCTGTCCCTGTAGCCTCCACCAGAGAGATCCAGACACTTTTCTTGGGTTGCTGCATCCAGGTTGGAACTGGGAAGGCTATTGCCATGTGGAAGCTGATGATCAGGAGACAGGTGTAGGTGATGGGTCGTTGTGTATTCGGACTCTTTTTGATGGAATCCATAATGGGCCCGAATCTGCCAAGACACAAGCATGTCCCTTCCCCCATGTGATAAGAGGGAAGGGACCCCTCCACTGATCTGTTAGTAAGTCTTTATATATTACTTTGGCTTTTGTCATGTGTGGTGATTGACTGGCTGAAAAATGTCTATGAACAGGAGGAAGATCCTCACTGTCCTGCCTGTTTAAAAAATTTAAAACATACATGGCCCTAGCGAGTTTCTCCTGGGGAGTGAGACCTGATCCCCCCTTTTCTTGTTTTTCCAACATGTTTTTCAGGGATTGGTGGCTGCGTTCCACTATTCCCTGTCCTGTGGGATTATGAGGGATGCCAGTGGTATGTTTGATGCCCCATTGTTGTAAGAAAATTTGGGTGCCTGAGGACACATAGGCAGGTCCGTTGTCTGTTTTGATTTGATGAGGAAATCCCATGTGCGCAAAGGCTAGGGTCCAATGTTTCCTAGCATCTCGACTTTTTTCACCTGAATGTGCAGTAGCTACTAGGAATTTAGAAAAGGTATCAATTGAGACATGGACAAATTTAAGTTTGCCAAATTGTGAAACATGTGTCACATCAGTTTGCCAAATTTGAAGGGGCTCTAAACCTCTGGGATTGACTCCAGCAGGC